TTATTTAAGATAGAGTAAATATAAGTAAATATAAAGTAAATATGGCCTTTGCGAATTTATTGAGATTAAAGTTGCAATTCCTAGGGTATTTGCATAATATTAAGTATACCTTTTTGACAGTGTAAAAGCTGGAGCAACGGAATAAATGTGCGCAGTTTTGCTTGTTCAGAATACTATTACGAAGCATACATGTTGTTAGAGGCCAAATAGTCTTAATGGGCAACGAAGATACTTTGTTAACAACACATTTCTTTAGTGTTAATTGTATTGGGTTTTTAATATGATACAAAGAAACTATCACAGTTCCAAGTCTGAAATGAGGCTACGCGATAAGGAGGTTGAGACAACAAAAGTCAATTTTTCAAACACAATCTTCAGTTGTAAAATTTGTAAATGCAGTTGTAAAATTGAAACAATCGATATGGCAAGTGCAATTGAAGTTAGCGACGAGGGGGCTCCAGAAATCTTACCTACAAGTGTTTTAAGGAAAGTTTACCTTATAACATATAGTAACGCAAACATTGAGCTATTCGACAGAGAAAAATTCTCAGCTATTATAACCGAGTCTTTTACGGTGGCAGCTACAAAAGTCGCCGTAATACAATGGGCATGCTGTATGGAAAAACACAAAAATGGAGCATACCATTTTCATATGTGTATTTTACTCGATAAATGTCAAAGGTGGTTAAAAGTAAAAAAGTATATCCAAGATCACCATCACATTATTGTGAATTTTTCCGGACATTCAGGGTATCATACTGCCTTCAACTATGTCGCCAAGGAGGATGAGGGTTTCATCAAGAGTGAGAACCATCCAGAGGTAGCTGCTCCAAAAACTGCAAAGGCCACAAAGGCTAGATCTGCAAAGAAGGGTCGTAAACCATCGAAACAGCTCAAGCGTCTATGCAATTCCGATGTGGCCAAAATGATCCTAAAAAATGCAGTAAAATCTCGTTTAGATCTTCTTGCGCTAGCCAAGACCTCTGCTGGAAACGGTGATGAGCGTCTGTATGCATTCGTTCTGAATAAAAACGAAAAAAAATTACAGGAATTGGTTGACACTGTGTGGGAAATGGAGACGGCAACAGAAAAGCTTCAACGGGCTAAAATGACGAGGCTTGAGATTTTACAGCAGCAGTTATCTGTTGTTTGCATTTGCAAGGGCGAGTGGCTCAAATGTGCCTTGGAGATTCTTGAAAACAACTCCATCTCAAGAGCTGATTTTGCTGAGGCCATTTTGACGTTGCTTGACAAGGGTAGAGGCAAGGGCCGTAACATTTTTATTGCAGGTCCAGCGAACTGTGGCAAAACGTTCATTTTAGACCCACTAAGAATTGTGTACAATGCTTTCCTGTCTCCTGCCACTTGTTCTTATGCGTGGCTTGGTGTTGAGGAGAAGGAAGTAATATTTCTCAATGATTTTAGGTGGTCACCTGTTATTTTGCCATGGAGTGATATGCTGCAGTTGTTGGAGGGGGCCGTTGTACACTTCGCTGCTCCAAAAACTGTGTATAGCAAGGATATAGAGCTCACCCAGAACACTCCTGTCTTTGCCACATCAAAGGCTCCAATTTCCTTCATCGCAGGCTCCATGTTAGATGAGAGAGAGACAGAGATGATGAACGTTCGTTGGCGAATATTCAAATTCAAACATCAGTTTGATGAACGGGTGCAGAAATGTGTTCCTGCCTGTGGTCATTGTTTTGCCAAAATGATCCTGTGACATTAGGCATCATCAGCAATTGTTAATCACAATAGGCATTATTTGATACAAAAGGCATCCTTGGCAGGGGCAAGGCCTCGCAAGGCTTCCCTGTTGATGCGAAACGTGGCACGACTGTTAACCGTAGTGTTAACCGTGGCTGTTTTTTTCATCTCATTCGTTATTTAAGATACTTTTTCGCCCCAAAGCTCCTCAACAAGGTGTCTTCTAATTTAATCTACCCAAAAATCTACGTTTGGCCTGAATTTAATGCCTGAAAATGAAAAGATTTGCAAAAACTCACGGTTAACACTTGAAAATGGAATAGTCTTAGATCATATCAAATTCAATTTTCAAGAAAAGTGTAGACCGTGGACTGTTTCTCAATTTTCTCCTTTCGCATGTACGAAATCCAAGTCAAAGTTTATAGAGCATTTGAAACATACATTGCACACCTCCTGGCAAAATCTGGATTGTTTTTTCTCGTCAACACAACTTTTGCAGGCATTTTAAAAATCGTTAACCGTGACTGTTAACCGTGGGGAAGACATTTTCGGACTACGAGATGGCCCTACGACAATTGAATACCAATAGTTTTCAATTCAATTTCGTGTAAGGTCTAATGATTTTAAGTATTGAAATATATTGAGATGCCAATCTTCTACTATGATTAAGTTGAAGATTCCACACAAAAGCAGAGATAAGCATGAAATCTTAAGGAATCACAAAACACTTTCTCTACCTTGCTGATGTCTGTAGGTGCGAAGGAGCAACACGCTGAAAAAAATTCTACTTGTTTGTGATTTACGTATGCATTTTTAGCTATGTCATTTTTTACTCAGCTGTTTATAAAAATATATGTTTACAACTATATACAAATTTACATTATTTCAGTATTTTGTTCTGTATCCTCCATTTGTAGTTAACGTTTTTAGACGTTTATGCATAGTTTTGATAGTTCCGTCAATGAGTGAACCACTGCAATTGGCTAGTGTCCGTAACACCCTCTCCTTAAAAGTTGTGAAATCCTCCTTCTCTATCCTTTCCTGCAATGCTTCTTTCAACATTTTCCTTTTAACGTTGTGGAAAACATTTTCTATTGGGTTCAGATCTGGTGATCTTGGTGGTATCTTGACAAGTTCAGCTCCAATTTCTTGTAGGGCATCTTTGGCTACTCTACTGTTCTGGCTAGGGTCATTATCCATTACAAAAAGCAGTTTCTCTTTATTTTTTAAAAAAGCACACTCTAACAGTGCCTGTTGTAATGTTGTTTCAGCAAATTTTGCAAACCAAGGTCCATTCATCTTGTCATATTCTTCAGCAATTATGACGCCTGATGAGAATGCAATGCCCACCATAACATGACATCTTCGACCCTCTGGTAGGCTTTTACTTCCTTTCGTGGTGTACTTCAGACCCTCATTTGTTTTTCTCCAAACTCTTCCACTCGGCGTTAATGCATCCCTGTAAGGGTTCTGTTTATGTATAAATGAAACAGCATCTAAGTAAATCAGGACGTCGTCTGTCCAAAAATTCTCGTCGTACTTTTTAAATGCCTCCCTTGCATAACGAACTCTGTGTCTTCTATCTGCATTTGAAAGAACTCCTTTACGTCTGGGTCGTAAGCATCTGTACCCAGCTTTATTCAATATTCTGACCAAACTTCTGTAGCTAACGTCCGTTATTTGGCTTTCTCTTGCTATATCCACCACTCTAATATTTGCATTTTCATCTCTCATCTTTTTGAAAGTTCTTAAAAACTTTGCTTTTTCCCTCTCTTTCAAAACTGGAGGTCGGCCTGTACCTTTATTCTTTGTCTTCCTCTTCCCGTTCAAGCCCTCCTGACAAATGCGAACAACACTTGATGGAGAAATTTTACAAACATCAGCAATTTTGCGATAAGACAGCCCCTTGTCTTTTCGCAGATAGTATGCATAGGCTCTTTTCCTTTGGTTAATCATCGTATGGAAGACCATTGTTCCTAATATCGCTATGATTTCTTGTAGACTCTAAACTGCCTATCGGCTCTTTCTCTCTTTTATATACTTGCAATTACAGTTATGGTTCTATTTTTATCTCTTATTGGTGTTTCCTTATTTGGAAATATCAAAAGAAACATCTTTCTCAAGATACAAATGGCGCCGATTTGCGTCATAAAAATGCTGTAATCTGTTGTGTTAAGGGAAATCGATCATCACAAAGGAAAGGTGCCATGAAAACAATTCACGCTTTCAACGCATTCATATCTACCAAATTCCTCTACACAACTACTGCAATAACACTAAATTTTGTAACTAAGTAATGAAAAATAACGGAATGAAACTATTGACAACATCTACTACTGTTAAAAACAACGGCTAAAGCCCCCCCTACCCCCAAACTGAAGAAAGAAATTAAAAAATCGCGATTTTTTTAACAGATTTGAAATCAGCACCATCGAAAACCCTATGTTACCCCATGTTTATTTTACTGTACCTTTTGATATTCCAGATAGGTTTCAGACAATCACTGCCAAAACTCTTGGAACACTTGTAATATTTTCAACGTTTTCATGCATCCGTTCCCCTCCCCCCCTTCAAACAATGTTGTCTCACAGCTAAGTTAAGACATACTTTTGTGGCAAACCTTTTTCTACCGGTCGCCCTGATAAACTGCATTGTAAGCAACATTGTTTTAGGGGGGGAGGGGGGTTTGTCTATTAGAAACACGGGAAATATACGAAAAAAGCAAAAAATTAGCAAAATACGTAGGTGTTCCAAGGAGTTTTGGCAGAGATTGTAATACATAGAATGAGGTGGGTGTACAAAGACGTAGTCTTGTCGCTGGTGTCAATGATGTGCTTCAAACCCAGAGATTTTCTGTAGCTCAACATATATCTTCCAGTTTCTTTTATGCGGAGATGAACATTTTTCTTTAGAGGCGACCCCAACAAGCTTGAACTTAACGATTAAGTTCATTTTGGAAACACAACGGCTGGATTAAGTTTTCAATCTCCCCCTAAAATGTCCCCCTAACCAAGCTTTCCGTTTTCTTTGTTATTAGTTCAACTTTTAGTTATTAGTTCAACTTTTAGTTATATCTTGCTAGTGTGTTACTTACATGTCTTATTGCCCGACATTGTTTTCTGTTTTATGTAATGGCCATGGGGTAGAAATGCTATTTTGCTCCCGATGCTGTCGTTATTTTAACGCTGTGGTGTTGTATAGTAGTAAGGGTCTTTGAAGGGTTTAAAACAATGGTGCTTGTGAAAAAACTCGTTTATTCGGTTTCTGTATTAAATGACTTGTTATTTTCGTAGATGTCGACACACCTATATTCAATACTTCTTCGGCGGTTGTGATTACAGAAAGCCAAATGCTCCATGTTCAGTGTACTGTGACATCAAATCCAGCTGCCAGCTTGGAATGGAAGACTCTTTCAGGGACCACCATATCAAAAACGTCGCTTTTATCGTTTGATTCTATACATCGCAACAATTCTGGAAATTATGTTTGCACGGCAACAAATTCGGTTGCTTCAAAAAGTTCTTCAACATTAGAGATTGTTGTTCAAAGTAAGTGAAGTGTCTTGTCTCATGTTTTGATCCTTCTTGCTGGTCATGGTATTTTTTAATTTAACCATAATGACATGGAAACATGAACCTTTATCCAATAACTATTTGAATATATAATGTGATTATGTCTGTTTGTGACTAGCATGATTAGATGCAGGAAAAAGCCAGCAACTCCTTATCACATTTTTTAATTAACTTTTGGATAAAGTGTTGCTCGAGATGATGTTTAAATATTTATGTATCGCCAGTTATTTCCAAAATGATCGTTTCTAACACTTTTCTTATAATCACCATCTAAAGCTATCCAATCACATTTTGCATTTTTCCCATGCTTGTCAGAACCTGAAATACAACAACAGACCATTTGTTGTGTGTTTTTTCCATGGCAATTAACGCCTTTTCCTAATTTTCAAGAAATATAAAAGACTCCTCATCAATATTGCCTATTCAATTGTCTCTGTGTTAAACCAGGTATTGACAGCCCACGATTCAACACATCCAATCACAACAGCTTAAAAGAAGGCGACCCGTTCTACGCTGTGTGTTCGACCACTGCATACCCAATCACCGATTTCAGATGGGAAACATATTCCGGCACTGTGGTTTCAAATACCCCATATTTGCAGTTCACGTCATTGAAAAGGAATGATTCAAATACATATGTATGTATTGGATCGAACGCAGCTGGCACAAAGAGATCCATCAATTTGACCATTGATGTTCGTTGTAAGTATTAGTCTTTCAAACTTTGCCTCTAGTTTCACTTCAAAACATACTGCATGCAGCAATGCGCTTCAAATTTGCTTATTTTTAGTATTAATTCCTAAAAAAGGCTTGGAGGTTTTCTTCACGGGAAATGTTTCCTCGTAAATGCTTAAGTCTCAAAATGGATACAAAACCAAAAATGGATTCAGTTTTATTTGCTTTGGTTTGACTCATTTCTATATTGAAGTAGATTTTCTTACTGTTAAATTTGCTTGCTTTCTAGACATTGATATGCCAACTTTCACTGGCGTAAAGAACGTGATCATTAATGAAAGCTCGCCATTACAAGTACACTGCACAACTAAAGGCAACCCAGCCCCTGATTATGAATGGGTAACGGCGAGCGGTACACCAGTGTCCTCTTCAGCAATTCTCAATTTTGCCAGCATCAATAGAGCAAATGCCAGCGTTTACATGTGTAAAGTATCAAATAACGTGGGAAATAGGTTGTCTGGCAACCTTACAGTTATTGTTCACTGTGAGTAGCGAATACCTATTCTTTTAATGGGACTTAATGCATTTAAGAGTACCTGGTGTTGGTACCGTTTGCACGTGATCGATCCAGGCCGGGATAGATGGGAACGATCCCAAATTGGCACGGATAGGAAATGAGGCTAATAAATTCTCCAGTTTGAGGTGCTTTGAGCCAGGGCTCATCAATAATATTTTGCACCTGCGAGCGCAAAGCCGAGTAAGAATGTGCCGCGAAGTAAAGTAGGGTGCAATTTATAGTCAGATACTGATAAATCGAGAACCTATGTTATACTAAATTCTGTTACACCAACTTGCATTTGTCAAAAGCAGATACCATATCAATATCATCATGAACTACATGTAACTACATTTAAAACTGAACAGATAACATAATAAATGCTACTAACGTTATTTTGTGTACATAAGAAAGGGAATGATCCAGTTTTTATCTATGGGTTGTTTTGGGTTATCAAGTAGCCCTATCGCTGTTATCGATTCGATTTCATCAAATAGAGACATCTTCACGATTTCATCAAAGGCTTTTCGATATCTTAAACGCTTTACTTTAAATGGAGCAGTTTTGTTTAGAACATCTTCTTTTAAGGTCTGTGAATTTTAGGATTTTGCTTTCGCATCCTTGGCAAAGGTTGCAAGAATTTCGACATTACACTGGGTTTTCTCATTTCGAAGAAAGATTCTATTTTCAATTACTTCCGTTGAAATGTCTTATTATAAAAAGTATCTTATAAGGATACTCCGTTTTTTAGCTTTGAGTTTATCATGCTTGTAAGATTTGATTATTTTAATATAGAAATGCTTTTACTCCAAAAATTGAAGAAATAGAGGCTTGTTTGGTTGTCACAAATTGTCGAAAATTTTTGTTTTTGATGAATTATTTGGAGGTGCAGCATGAAATTTCAGAAATCGATAGCTACAAGATTCAAAAGCTTGAAGACTTTAACTTAAAGGAAGTGTCCTTTCTTCAGCTTACTATGCACGAATGAGATTAACAAGTCATAACATGATACTCTGAAGAAAATGATACAATAATTGCAAATGATCTCTTCCACCAAGAGATAATAGAGGAGAAGAGACAAACAGCCAACTTGATTTTGAGAATCAAATGGCACCTTTAGAGTAAGGACCTTCTGTCATTTTGGTAATAAAGACTTGCAACTACTACCTTTTATATTCTGTTTGACCGTTCAATTTCAATACCAAGAAAGATGTTCGAGAAAGCATGACTCTAATACAACAAAGGTAAATAACAATAAATTTAGAAAAGTGCCTGCAGAAATTCTTGAGAATGAGCTTTTGTGCCTGCGAGCGCCGCTCGCGGAGATTAATGAGGTCTGCTTTGAGCACGGTGCTTCGACCTTTGGTCAGATCTTGCGTGCCCTCTTCGCCCACAAGATGGAAAATACAAAACAAGATGGGGAAAGTTTTCTATTTTTTCACGATTTTATTGATAAATTTAGCGGACAGGCTCCAACCTGCGAGCGACATTGACCCCACACATGTAGTTGACAAATTAGAGAATCATTCCTCAACAGTTGCAGAATGGTTTAAAGACAACTGTATGAAGTTAAATGGGGACAAATGCCACTTCTTGACCTTTGGCGATCAAAGCAATGAATTAGCCATGCAAATAGAAAACAACCTAATCAATGCAACAGCTAGGAAGACTACTTGGTGTAACAATAGACAAAAACTCTCATTTAAGTCAAAAACTACACGGCCTCTCCCGAATTTTATGCTACTTAAACACAGAACAACTCAGATAAACAATGAGTGCATTTATTCCATCCCAATTTAGCTATTGATCACTTGCATGGATGTTCTGTGACAAAACCCTAAATACTGAGATAAACCATATACATGAAAAGGCACTGCGTATCGCATGCAAAAACAAGGTGTCCGATTTTGATACTCTCCTGATTGAAAACAACTGTGTGTCCATACACAAAGGAAACCTGCAGCTACTAATGATTGAGATCTACAAAACTGTACATGAACTCAATCCAAGCTTTATGAATAAAATATTCATACAAAAGAGCAGCCACACAACAGTAAACCAATGAAATTCCAAAAACTCGAACCATCACTCATGGCATCGAAAGCTTGTCCCATTTAGGATGTAAGCTTTAAAACAATCTACCAGAAAACTTGAAAAACCTCAATACTCTTAATATCTTTAAAGTAAAGATCAAACAATGGAAGGATTATTGCATCTGCAGGCTATGTAGAACCTTTGTAGCACAGGTCGGGTTCTTGACATGAATTATCTAACATAAATTATCTAACATGAATTATTTTCAATTATTTGTCTAATTAAATCCTAGGTATTTTAATTAATTTCTTTAAATCGCTTCTAAATCACTGTATAATAGTATCAATTTTATTCCTATAGATAGTAGACTTTAATTAATAAGTGAAATAATAATTATTATTATTATAACATATAATGTTTTTACTCCAGCGTGATATTCAGGAGTAGGGACCTTTTTATTCATCGCTCAAAATGAACATTTTGTTGCTACCTTTTCAATTCAAAGCCATTATCTTCTCAGCCTTCCTATAAATTTGGTTGTATTTTCTTTGTGTTGTTGATGGCATAAGCAATACGCGAAAGCCGTGTGGTCCGATCTGGGATCGATCCCGTGTAAGCACAATATACTTTGGGATCGATTTCGTGTAAACGTCTGCAAAAATTTTGGAATTCCAAACTGGATCGGTCCCATTTTTTTCGTGTAGACAGGGTCTAAGTCAGCCTCAGATACTTGCATGAATGTAAAGTTTACAATTGGAAGTTGTATTCAGAAAAGTAATTCACTTTGATATCTGTGAATAAATTTATTCAGGGTATGAGCTTTCAGCAGTTAACAAAGCAAGCTTATTTCAGTTTTACTTCCCTTCTGCATGATGGTTCTATCTTTTACAGCATTTTTTGTTTTTTTTCTTCTCTAGATCTTGATGCCCCTATCGTCAAAGCCAGAGTTACGTTTCGGAACGGCTCCGCATCTACAATCGAGTGCTCTGTGGAGGGTCTTCCCAAGCCAGCAATATCTTGGAATAAAGGAGATGCACTTGTCAGTTCTCAAAGCACATTGACTTGGAATCCAATATTGAAAAATAACGCTGGAACTTATTTTTGTCTTGGTGCAAACAAACTTGGAACTAAACAGAGCCAAACAGCCGTAACTGTAGAATGTAAGTAAATTGGATGCTTTTGCTACTGTAACGGCTAAAGTCTGCATTGTCGTTTTCTGTATAGCGTAGCTGCTATTTTGGCATTTGACATCAACTGACAATTTGACCCAACTTTTACCGCAAAAAGCAATACATATTCCAACTGGAAATTTGCTGGTTTTAGTTTTTGAGCTTCTTTTTTGAGATATTCAAACGCTTCTTCAAGATTAACATGCAGTCACTGCCTTTAGGGTTGAGTTTCGGTATTTTATTTATAACAGCGTGATTTCACCTCCTCAATTTCAAGCATCCTTTCCGTTACAGATCCACCAGTTGTCACAGTGACATCGTCCCATATTCTTCCATTTGTCCGAATCGGCACTTCCTTGGAGCTAGTTTGTGTCTCAGACAGTGTACCTCCGTCCAACGTGACCTGGAAACATAAAAATAATCTAATCGTCAAAGGAACAAACAGTGCAAGGCTCAATTTGTCACTTCAGAGAGACAGCACTAGCAATTATACCTGCTTGTGTGAAAATGACCTGGGGACTGCTCATGTTGTGAAAGAAGTTATTGTCCAAGGTATTCTCAGATTCCGCTCGTTCCGTCATTGTCTCCATTACGATCGAATTTCATGTCAAAATTAAAACTAAAACACGGATCGATCAAATTTGCTGTATACTTTCTAAACTTTTGCCCTAAATTTTCTGAAATTCATGAAACGTGGAAGAAAGCACTCGGTCGAATTATTTTATTATTTGATAGATAGTACATAAATTGTTGAAACAGCTTCTTTTCCATCGTGAACCTGCTAAAAACCTGTTTATAGATGTAACCTGCGTCCCGCTTCCTGAGAAGCTTGCACGTTGCTATGTAGTAGTGTAGTTGAATTTGGTTTCTTATGGTTTACAGAAACCCTAATCAAATTAGCCCTCTGTTTTTAAAGCAAAATAACCCTGTGTAGTACTGCACTGGCTAATTATGTAACGATGAAAATTCTTTGTCCCTTTCTGTACTTGACTCATCAACGTACGGTTTTGTATTTTCCAGAGCGGCCTGATCCCCCAAGCGCCTTCCAAGTAACAAAAAAAGAATCACGATGGATCACTCTAAGCTGGCAAGCGCCTTTTAATGGCAACAGCAGAATCAGTCAGTATGTTTTGAAGTATGGCACCGATGCTGCTAATCTAGACAAGGAGAATAGAACGCAGTCTCTTCAATACAATGTGTCAGGCTTGCTACCGTTCACTGTATACCATTTCAATATAGCAGCAACGAATTCATTAGGCTCTAGTCATACAAGTAATCTGAGCGAGAAAACAAGCACTGAAGGTAACTGAACCAATTTTACGTTGTTCTACAACTTTTTTCTAAGACAAGTTTTCCAGCTGTTTTCGTCGTTATGTACTACTATTGCTGCCAGTTATGTCCCTCACTGTTGATAACATGGCTCAAACACTCTGTAGATCTACTATCTTTTGTTCGATATTTGTTTGTTCTGTGCTGTTGCGAAGGACCGCTCGAGATCATCACTGCCCAGTACAGTGAATTGTTTATTAGACATTTGGTAATGGTTTCTTATCTTATCACTTTGTAGCACCACCCCTGAAGAAAGATGCTATCAGCTCGCCTGCACCATCGAAAAGTACTGTAACAATGCTACTCAAGAAATTTGATGATACGAATGGTAAAATTAGGTAATTTTGTTGGAGCCTTTTAGGTCCTTATCTTACAAGTAAGAGCCTTTTATTTTAGAATAATTTTTTGGAATACCTCTCTGCACACCAATTTTCTCTTACATTCACAGACGAGCCACAGCAAAAAAGTTTGATGGAGAGTGGTCGCTCTGTCTTGGTGGTCCAGGGGCGAAACTACTGAGGGGGTGTGGGGGGGTGCTGCACCCCCCCCCCCAATCTTCAAAAAAGCAGATTTTGTCGGGCAAATTTATGGCTGCCAGTGTATCTGTCGGGCAAATCTGGAAATTTTCTTTAGGTCGCACTTTTATTGCTACTTTTTGCCCTAGATTGGTTTTTTAATTCATGGTCTTTTCCCCCAAATTTTTTTCGATCTCCTCCCAGTTTGGAAAACAAAACAGAAACGAGGCAAGGAACAGCAACATATATACATTTCTGTCTTTCGTCCGTCCACCGATCAGCGCTTTCGTCTGGAGCTCAACGCGCACATGTTTATCTTCGCCTCGAGATGAAGTCTGAAGTATTGATCGACAGCAAAATTATAGACGGAAAGTAAAGTGTGTTTGATGCGAGAAGGAAATGAATACTGTGTATACCCCTCCCCCCTACATTTTGCAAAATAAGTGAGCTTTTTCAAAATCTTTTGTTGTGATTTCTAATTTTTCCCTTGAAAAGCCCCCCCCCCCCACGTTCCATCCTGCCTCGGAGCCCATAGAACACTGACAGTTTTAGAAGCATCATGAATCAAAGCATGGAGGATATACCATCTAGGAATACGTTGTTGAGAAAATCAATCAATATTTTCTTTTCCAAATGTATGAAACTTTCATTCATGAAATCATACATGTTTTAGAGATTTAGGTCAGAACATTTGAAGAAGACATCATTTGGGTTTTTAAACATTTCATAACATCAACAGGAGCATAATAAAACTATTTACAATAAACATGATCCAACGTGAACACCTTTTCATTACAACGTGGCGTGAACAACTGACTAATGCAACTTCGAGGTCTAGGAAAGAGTGAAAGATTAACCGCGTGCTGCTCCTTCACAACAATACATCCATAAGGAGTTATGCCCCAAAATTCTCTTAAGGTTTTACACTTACGGTTCGAAAGTATTGCACCCTTCGCTAGAAAATGGTCATACAGACGCCAAAGTTTTTTTCACTAAAAAAATTTGAATAACCATAACAAGTAACAGAAGTTTTGATCAGTTCAAGCGGGAAATAATATAAAATTTATCAAGAAATTGTAGTTAAGATATGAATTGAAAAATCTTTCGAGTTTATTCTATTTCTGAACAATATCCATGATTACGAAAACATGAAAATTGAGCTTTGATGATAGGTATACCTGTAAAATACCTCCAATAAAAAACTTTTCTTTGCTTGAGGGATTTTGTTATGGTGAATTTAGATATACGTACTTTGTGCTTGGGACTCTAAAAATATTGAAATTGCTTCCGGAGCAACCGAAAATTGAAAATGAAACTCAGAGAATGCAACTGAAGCTCTTTTTTGTTGAAACATTGTAATCTGCGTAGCTGTTTCTAAATTCCGAAATTCCCAAGCTGTGTTTTGGTGTTCCACTTTGATAAAATTGAGACCCTACTTCAATCTCTTTTTTGAATTGCTCTCTTAATAGCTAGGTGATTTAGAAAGTGAAGACGTTTTTTCTTTTATAGAAAAGACTGGCCTTACAAATGCTTGCTTTTCGGAAATAAATGTTTATAGCCAACACCAGAAAAACTAGAGGCATATTTTTGACTTAAAACAAACAGCCTGAGTCTAAAGACCCTCTCTCGGGCTTTCCGATGATTTCAGCCCTTGAGGCGATGTGCTTTAAAAATGAAGTTCATGTAGGACACGCCCTTTCATCAACCATGCCACGCCCTTTCGTCGGGCAACTTAGCTTCATACCCCCCTAATGAAAATAGTGAAGTTTCGCCCCTGGGTCGGTAAAGGGACCTTAACCTGTAACCATTCCGGACAGGAAGCTTCACTAGATTCGCACAATCATACATGATAAATCTTTCTATCTTGTAGCTTTTACCAGATTATTGTGGTGAAAAGTTCCTCATCTTCCTCATCGAGCCGTCCAGATGATCTCACAGGGTTACAAGGATATTCAGCGGCAACCAGCAATACACCATATATCACGGCTGAATTTTCTTCAAGTGTCTTCGAAGTATTCACTGAGTGGCACTTTACTGTAGGGGATGAAAAGAGAACGAGCAGAAATAAAACAACGACGCGCGCAAGGAGATCTGCTAACCAAGGTGAATCTCGATAGAAAATATTGTAGCCACCCATTCGTATGCAGACTAGACAACCATTTTAGAACTTGGAGTCTGTTTCGAGTCAAATGATATTGCTATGGTCTGGTTGACGTTAACTAATAATTTTTCTCCCGGTTTCTTTCATGCAACTTATTGATTTTTTGTTGTTTTTAAATATGAAAATAATATTGCTTTCTGACATACTATACCTGTAACAAATTTTGCACCCAGATTGTATGTGATAAACAAGAGATATCTTCCTAGTCTTTATCCAATTGATGACGTTAGAGTGTTGACATAAAACTCCTTCTGCCTAGGTATTTCCTTATGCTGATACGTTTCCTTCTAGAGTACTATAACGCACCATTAGAGGCTGGTACTGAATACAAGGCATTCTTCAGAGCATACATCAATGACTTAGAATTTAGATCCACAAACTGGCTGGAGTTCAAGACAACAGCGAAAGATGAAGGGTTGTCTGCGGGAGCCATTGCTGGCATTGTTATTGGATGTCTGTTGGCACTGTTTCTGGTCGCTGTTTTTGTGTTTAGGTACATGAGAAATAGAGAGGATGAGAAGGATAACGTAGAAGAAGAAGAAAAGAAGCCACACAGGCCTTCCTTTTTAAAAAGAAGTTTCATGAAGCCGCGTTTGGGTAAGTTTGTATGTTACACGGTATAACTGAAGTGCCAAAGTACTGAACCCCATCACCCCTTCCCCTCATCGACAACGTCCAGAGCATGGATATCTACTTCAAATTGCTGTTGCGCACGCGCATTGGGAATATGAGTTGTGGCTGAGTCAGACATTAGCTGGTGCCTGCCTCCCAAACAGAACAAAAAAGGTCTGTTTGTCTTTTGTACACCTAAAAGAAAGTAGCAAGATTGGTTTCCGTTGTCGTATAAAGTTCATTTAAAGACTGATTTCTGCAAAGAAGTACTTAATAGGGGATTTTCAAAGTTTTACTCAAACACCATAGATCTTTTCACTATCCTCTGTGTGACTCTTTAACAAGCGCGAATCCATTTTGCTAATTTTGTTAGATATAGGTAATACTCTTCTAAACGGTATTCTTGATATCTGTAACTTCAGGATGCGCATAATTTCTGTCCTCTTCTCTACAGCGGACCCAACACAACCAGTTTCAAGGGACTCGTTCGAGATCCATGTCAATAACATGAGAGCCAACAGTGGGTACGGCTTCTCCCAAGAATATCAGATGATTGACAAAAGATATAGACATTCATACAATCATAGTACAGCCTCGTACAACACCTTGAAGAACAGATACGCAAACATTCACGCTTACGACCACTCGCGCGTCGTGCTTCAGTCCGATAACACTCCAGGCAGTGACTATATCAACGCAAACTATATTGGTGGTTTTAATGGCGACAGGGAGTACGTTGCAGCTCAGGGACCTTTGCCTGAGACCATCTCAGATTTCTGGAGAATGGTTTGGGAGAAAGACTGCTCTACGATTGTCATGGTAAGACTAATCCGCCATTCTATCGTTGTACGGTGAAAAATTAGATAATTTGCGAAAAGCTAGGACCTTGGTTACCCCTTGATTACGTTGCAATTGAAGACACATCAACGTTTTATCGTAAAAATTGATAATTCATTACGATAAATTTTGAACAAAACAAATACAAAAAAAGAAACATCCTGGTTTGTATCTTCCATTGTAAGTATGTTGTTTGTAATGGCTAAGTGCAAAAGAAAGGCTGGTTTTTTGTTTTAGCTCACCAATGTGCAAGAAAAAGGACGTCAGAAATGCGCTCAATATTGGCCTACCTGCGGTTCAGCGACGTTTAAGGCGCTTGTTGTAAATGTGCTAGAGGTTTTGGAGTATCCGGACCTGGTCATAACTACATTCCACATAACCAAAGTCGGACAGGCGGTTGAGAGGACTTTGAAGCACTTCCATTTCATCAGTTGGCCGGACTTTGGAGTGCCTTCGGAGCCTTCGATTTTGTTTTCTTTAATCAAAAAAGTCAACCGTTGGAGGAAAATGGCACCTCAAAATGGACCACTTGTGAGTTTCGATTTGGATTTATTTATCTGCATAAAACATCTTTCTATATCATAAACAAAACAATTTGAAGCACAAAAATTTCCATTTCACTGTGCATTTCACTTCCATTCAAAGCAGGAAAGGAACAAGGTCATCTGGTCGCTACTATAAAAGTCACTGACAAATACACTATAGCAAACAAAAGAAGACAATTGAAGATGGCTGGGTGCCAAATACTCATAACATCTTTTCCGTTCAAATTACATTGAAACTCAGAAGGTTCTTAAGACCTATAGAAATTAAGGTTTGACAATTTTGTCAACAATATCATGAAGTCTGGAAACACATAAAAATACCAAGGCCCAGCAGCTATTTATTCATAAGGTAGGACTTGCCGTGTTGCTAAAGCCTGGCTGGCTATAAAAATGCTTTCCTCAGCGTACAAGTTTCACGATTTCCAAATTGTTTGAGTCATATAAATTTTGTTATTTTGTAGATTGTGCACTGCAGTGCTGGCGTTGGGCGAACTGGAACATATATCGTTATCGATACACAACTCAACAGATTAGCAAACGAAAGAGACGTAGCAATATACTCCAATGTTTCTGAATTGAGGTAATCGTCTGTCTTTTATATGATATTCGATGCTATTCTGTCTGTCTCTTATGTGGTATTCACTTAGCAATAAACTTTTCTTATTCTACTATTACTTTTATCGTTGCGTATTCCCTAGAACTTTTTTTGTGATTTGCAGGGAGCAGAGGTACCTAATGGTGCAAACTGAAGATCAATATGCGTATATACATTTCGCCGTGCTTGAATATATTAAGTCGGGAGATACAGAAATTGAAGCGCACGATTTGCGAGATTACATCAAACGAAAGAGTGATGTCGATGCTACGACAGGTCAGATGTGCTTTCAACGTTCGAAATGTTTGAGTTTGACTATGCATGTGCAGTGTGGCTTATACCATTTTGACTATGCAGGGTGGTTTACTCCTGTTTCCTTCGTCTTTAAATGCAAGGCGCTATTACCGACAAGAGTTAGCTTTAGACTCTCTATTCGATGATGTACTTCTAACGTTCGATTTCTTTGACAGGAAGCACTGGCTTGATGGACGAGTTTGTCTCGCTAGCTAGAGACGAAACGCACCATACTTTCCATGAAGCAAGTAAGGTACATAACCAGTCGAAAAACAGATACAAAAATGTTTACCCCTATGATTCCACTCGTATACGGCTGTCGCAGATCAACAATCTAAGTGGCTCGGACTACATCAATGCAAGTCATATCGATGGCTACGTCCAGGAGGGCGCCTTCATTGCCAGCCAAGCGCCTCTTGAGAGAACTTTTGAAGACTTCTGGAGAATGATTTGGGAAAAGGATTCGAGGACAATTGTCATGTTGTCCAAAGAAGAAGAAGGCGGAAAGGTGCGTTCTCTACTATGAGTGATAAGAATGTGTTTGGAAATGAGGATGTTTAGGCACGCTGCCAAAGTAGTTTCAGCTGTAGAGATAATATTGGCTGCGTCACCTACAAGCAAGTCTGTAATTTTCTTTATAACTGACGTGTTGTCTCTTTATCTTCTTATTTTCTCTTTTTCTAAGAAGTTTATTCAAAAGGAATCGTTGAAGTAGGTGTTTCAGAAGATTTGATGAGTAATGCCATCACTAATTTGATATCTGTGAAGAGAAAGACTTTCCCTGTTAGTCAGTAATTTTGATAAACTCTTTTAGGTGAAAGTCAATGCTTACTGGCCGAATGGAGGATCCATAAAGATTGGCATTTTGATCATAGAATTGGTCAGCGAGGAGAAGTTTTCCGATTATATTCTTCGCGTTTTCAAATTAACCAATTCAGAGGTTAGTGCAAACCTAAATAATATATTTATAGCAACTTTATTTCGATTTTTTAAGGTTCTGTAAATCAATTGTATTGTTTTCCTGAAACACGAAAAGAAGCAATTTTCTCAGTCACCTGCTTGCTGCTTACTGTCGTTCTGGGGCAGGGCATGCCTTTAGCAAAGGGTCGCCTTATATTCCACCTTGAATTTTCCACCTGAAATCCTCCATCCTAAATCTCCCACCTTATGAAGGCTGTAAGTTGATTTCGCTTTCATTTCTATTTTCATGGTAGCGGTGAGACAACCACCCACCTTGGTGTGATCACAGCGTTAAGCGTGATCTTTTACTAATAAATTATTTGCTTCAACTTGCGTGTAGCCACGCAGGATGTCCCGTGGCACAGTCCCTTTACGGGTGGATATAAATCCTTTTTTAAGCGGTATACTAATAATTAACTATCAACAGCAGGGCCAGTCACGTTGTGTGCGCCATTACCAGTACACGTCTTGGCCGGAAAACGCTCCTCCTGAATCTGCATTCGGAGTTATAGATCTCATTGGACAAGTTTCGAAGTGGAATACAACTGTTGGGAACAGGCCTGTGACAGTACATTGCAGGTTCGTTCATAATGATTGCTTTTATCAAAGTATTGTTATATAATGTATGATTTTTGCCCCTTTTCTTTCAATGCCATTGTAGCAACTACTTACACGCTTTTTAGATCTAGGTCTACTGTAATTATGCCACAGGTTATAATAGTTGAAAGGTCCCGCCTTTAGGCTCGCGATTTCTAGCAGTAGCTGACTATGTTACTTTGAAATTGGAAACGAATCTCTAAGTAAAAATCATATTAATCATCAATCGACCAATCAGGTAGTGTCGGAATCCAAATGAGTAATTTTTAGCGGTATAAATTTTAAAATGCCCTTGAAAAAAGCCAACATTATACAACCTAAGGAGCAATATCTCATTGGCCTGGCGAACACCCTCACCCCCAATGGCATGAACAGAACTACCGACCGTTAACTTTACAAAACAACTTATCACCTATCACGCCGCCCTCACAACCCACATCATATTTTCCCTACCCATTGTACATCAACACCACTATTACTATCATCAACATTCCATTATTCTCAGTTCCGTCAAAAACTTTTTTTTTCTCATATTCACAGTCATCATTATCATCTCATTGCATCAATCTTCATAGCACCACCCACATCCCCTTACATCACCCACCACCCTTCCCTCCCCCACTTCCATCATCCCATGTTTTCTCCACTGCGCTGCATTCACACCATTCAACATCCACCAATCCGGCACCACCATCTCACATTTCAAATCCATTCACTCGTTCGTTTTATTTACTCTGATGAAGCCCTGTATGCCGGGGCGAAATATTAGTATACTCTTTAAATTTAATTTATTTTGAAAATTTTATTTCGTGACATTGGATTCTCGTCGTCGTATTGCTTTGTTCCTGTATATCTTTCATTATACAACCTGACTTGCCCTTTTTGTCTATCACTCTTCAGAGAGAGTATGAAACGTCAGAATTAAGGCTGAAAAGGTCAAGCAAGAAACTATGCACCCTGTTGTAGATCGAACTATACCGGCCATGTGCTCGCTTTTTTCTAATTGGCCTAGTTCGACTGACCTTTTATATTGTTACAGTTTAACTTCAGATTATTTAGGAAATTATCTGGGAATGTAGCATGAAAATTTGAAAGACCAAATGATTTTTATCGTAGAAATACCTGCATGACTTGATGTTATTCTTATGTGGCATAGAAGTATGTCTAACGGATCTGTTTTTTTCATCAAATCTAACAGTGCTGGCGTTGGCAGAACTGGAGTGTTTATCGCCTTGACAAATTTGATAGAGCGGCTGAAAACGGAAGCAATGGTTGATGTTTACCAAGCAGTAAGAAAACTGCGCTTACAAAGAACGGCCATGGTCCAGACAAGGGTGAGTAATTCAGTTCTTTATTAGGTGAAATCTTTATTAGCTTCTTTTGTTACCTCAGCTATGCAGCACCATTATGTATCGTCTTTTTGCGCGTTAATAAACTATATTTTAATATTTTGATATTTACATAAATATACACGTTAAGTAAGATACTAAAGAACGTCATTAATTAACATTTTGTTAAAATCATATGACATTCATATATTGCGATCATTGTATACATAATATTTCTGGAAGCAGACTTTTTTTTGTCAAATTGGTAACAACCTTCTTGTTAAAAAATATATATATTTAACCGATTTGATTTTTTCAGCAAAACTAAATGCCAGTAAGTTTCCAATGAATCAGTAAACCTTTGTTTTGCAGGATCAGTACGAATTTTGCTACCGTGCCTTGCAAGAGTACCTCGACTCATTTGACCACTATGCTAACTTCGAGTAGTGTTTGACATGTTTATTGTGCATAATCAAAATGTTTACACATCAAGCTTTGGGGAAGACATTTTTTAATGTTTACACATCCAGCAATGGAGTCAGCAACTTGGCAATCTGGCTATGTTTAAATCACTGCCGGGGCGATTGCCAATCTGGTTTCAATGTGCTTGAATCAGCCCGCTATCTATACAGCTAGAATTATTTGACTTTGCGATTTCTCATCTTGTATAAATGTTTTATTAATGAATCTGTTTTGTTGAACAGTTTTGAAATTGCTCATTGTTAGGAGAATTTTCAGGTATATTTTTGTTAAAATTAGTTTTGTATTTGCACGAAGAGTATTGCAATACCAGGGTATCGTAGACTTGTCTCTATATGCTAGGAAGATGGGATGCTGTGCAGGGGTGAACACTTGCTGCGCCTAAGGAATTCTCCAATTCTGACATTTTAACTAATATTCAAAAAATAAATTTAGATAGCTTTTCAATATTGTTTTTGGTCCTGAGGCAGGGACTTGGGATCTGTCATGCCAAAGCCACACAGTTTATTGGAAAGTGCTTTTTAAACTAGTCTCGTGACATCATCTCCTGCGATTTTTTGTAATACGTTGACCATATTTATGCACCTAAACAATGTTATCAAACGCAAGGCTTGGTGTAGAAGGAGAACATCTCAAGAGAACGCCACTTTAGTTTTCGTGCTCTCTGTACTGTACTCAATATACCCAAAATCCTATATCGATATAGGAAAGCACCAGTTTGTCAACAGCCTTCTCCCGTAGCAGGAGCCTTCCGTTCATTGTAGTGGTCATTAAATTTTATTTGTATTTGTCATGCATGTGCCTTTGATAGAGCGAGGCAGTCCGCGCTACTATGTACTGGAATGCACACCTGTTGATGTAATGATGTACAGTCGAATCCCGATATAACGAACTCTGAAGGGAATCAGAAAATAGTTCGTTATATCGGAGTTGGTTAAACCAGGTTTCTTTATATCAGGATCCCACTATATTTACGTTTGACGAAGCTATTTGTAGCAATTGTATCTACTTATTCGACAATTTAGAATCTTTTTAGCAATACAAAACCCGCTATATGGGTCATTGTTCAAACTTTTGTATGGTTGCTAACTAGAAACGTTGGTAGAAAACTGCTTCAGAGCAGTGTTATTAAGTAAAGCACGCGAAATGCTTGGCGCAATTTTTTATAAAAAATATCACAAACAAATTGTTTATCCAGTTAATCAATGAATATAACTTCACCACTGACGCATTTATTTCAGTGACTACTCCTTCTAATGAAAATGGTCTCGAAGATTGCACTGGTTTCTTTAAAATGCTTCATTTTCTTAGTAAAATGTACAATTTTAAGTGCAAATCTTCCGTTTGAAAATTCCTTTCATTACTAAAACTTGAAGAGTTCCCTTTTCGAAGTCAATATTAATGTCATTAGCGAAAGATTGAAAATTAATCGAATTTATGTCAATGACGCAGTATTCTTGATTTCTATGCACCTGAGTATGTCGTCGGTGACACTCTTTTGAGGCTATCGCGCATGCCCAGATCCAATGCATTCTATTAGGTAGGTTCCTTGCTCGTCTTCCCTCTCTTTTATTGCTTTTGTTGTAAACTTGGCCTGAAAAAGACCAACATGATAACAAAACTTGATTGGTATTTTTTCGTAAGGTTATTTGAATTTCCAGATGTTCTGTAACCTTGACAATACCCTTGCCCAATACATTCATATAAAGGTAGGTATCCTGTCGCTGTGTCCAAAGAATACTGGTACTCTTAAGATGCCGCTGAAGGCAGTTATGAATACGTCGAAATAAGTAAATTTTCTTCGTACACAAAAATCCGTGCGGTGAATTTCTTCATTGACAGGTCCGTCTAGAGTCAATGATGAACTTTATCTGCCTACTTTGTATTTTTCTCAAGCATAGACTATGGCTCAGGGCACTCGGGCAATGAGCGGGGGTTTTTGAAGCAGCAAACTGGAGTTCGATTCCGACCAAGAGTGGTTCGATACAATTGGGCAGCACCCTTGTGGAAAGATTTTCCTCCTGTCAGCCTTTGCCTTATGATTACATACATAAATATATATACATTATAAATATTATAACTATACATCAAAGAAAACACTTTCGTAAGACGTTTCGCTTTCGTTTCATCAGTAATAACTTAATAACAAAATCAGAGGAGCCTAGTTATCAACCTAAATTACAATAGAACAATAAAAAAAATAAACCTAAGGGGCACCTGCCTAATACAATACATATTTTTGAATGTGTAAGAACGCAAAATGTTATGGGGAACTGGGAGAAAAGTGAATAGAAAGGTAGAAAAAAGAATGTGATGGAAATGCTGGTGTTGACCGAGGGGCAGATCACTGCTTAAAATCACGTGCGCACTCTAGAATAATCACACTTAAATCACAAATTAATCACATTAATAAAATGATAGAAATAATCACAAAGTATAACTTTAATCACAAAAATTGCTTAAAAACAAATATTAGAATCTTTGACAACGTTTATTCGCATATGTTATTGAGAAGTGTAATATTGAGAATCTCCCTTTCACACTTTTAATGAACACGTTCGAAAATCTGCAAAAGCACGCTCGAGAACACATTTTTCTAAGTACCCTGCGATGGAGCAAAAATTAAGGCCTCGTTATGATGCCTTGGTCACTGAATTAACCATTGCTACTGATGTTGCCCAAATGCCCAAATGCCACTGATGTTGATCTGAGCAAGAAACACCCCTAATAGCAGCCATTTTTCACTCATTTTTGTTGATTGCTGCAGGGGGATCCAGAAAGTTCCGGCTGTTGCAGTTGCAACTGTTACATCTATGGGAAATGGTTTATGTCAGATTCTTGTAATTTCCCCAAATAAAATTTGATAATCAAGTTCCATAATTCCGGAACTTGTAATTTTTTGCCCTCGGTAAAAGTTTCAGGAATGACAGTTTAATTTGCAATAGCGATATCATTTGCGAGGGGCAGAGAACAGAAAACATGCATTTGTCTTAATGTCTTTTGCAAGGTGCTTGAGAACTGTTCACTGTTTTTCATCCAAGGCTATTTTCATCCATGTTATTAATGTTACTGTATAGGAAAGATAGCTCTTTTAATGCAAATTGAAATTCTAACAAAGAGCGTAGATGGCCCACACAACAGAAAACATGCATTTGTCTTAATGTCTTTTGCAAGGTGTTTGAGAACTGTTCACTGTTTTTCATTCCAGGCTATTTGCTTCCATGTTGCTATTGCTAAAGTTCAGGAAAGATAGCTCTTTTAATGCAAATTAAAATTCTGATAAAGAGCGTAGATGGCCCACACAACAGAAAACATGCATTTGTCTTAATGTCTTTTGCAAGGTGTTTGAGAACTGTTCACTGTTTTTCATCCAAAGCTATTTTCATCCATGTTATTAATGTTACTGTATAGGAAAGATGGCTCTTTTAATGCAAATTAAAATTCTGATAAAGAGCGTAGATGGCCCACACAACAGAAAACATGCATTTGTCTTAATGTCTTTTGCAAGGTGTTCAATAAACTGTTCACGTTGGGCTAATGTCACCCTGCATCCATGATGTAGAAAACCCATCATATATCATATTGCTTTGATATTTGCTTATGCTGCTGTTCATAAAATATAACTCTGTTTTTTGTTTTCAATGTTATTAAACTTTTGCAGCTTTTTTCTTTTGCAAATCTGCAACAGTCAAATTTTTCTCTAAATCCACCCCCCCCCCCCTTTCCCACTGCTAATTTTTACTTTTCAATTTCATATGGTATGTTGGAAAATCTTTGCCAAACTTGCATGATAGGTTCTCATTTAATTTATGAAAAAATGTTGTTTAATTTAGCCTATGAATTGGTTTACCGTCACGTGTTCAAACGACGTTTATGCGCATGAAATTATTTGAGAGCACTTTTGAATCTATGATTCAGTTTCGAAATAATCACAAATTAATCACAAATTAGTAAAAAACTAATCACTTTTATCACTAAAATTTAAATTAATCACACACAAAATTGATTTAATCGTCAATCAATCACTAGTGATTATAAATCTCGTACACCATTTTCAGGAGTGATTTGCCCCTCGGTGTTGACTGTCTCACAAGAGATAGATGATAGTAATAAAATTTTATATATATATTTATGCGTTCCCCGCGACCCACTACATAGTGTACACATTCTTCGAACACAAAAATGCCCCCGATAACTCGAACATTCGCTATTTCGAACCACGTCATTGGTTCCTTGGAGGTTCATGTTATCGGGAGTTTGCTATAAATGTTTTCGATAAGCTATCAGTGACTTACTGTTTTTTTTCTGGCAAATTGGAGCCGATATGCAAATTGAAGGCAAATTTTGTAATTTTTGGAGCGCTTCGTTGTAAGCCGAGCTCTGTCTATATTTTCCCTGTATATAGCTGAAAAACTAAAATGTCATGGTAGCCTAGTATTTAGACCGACTGCAACAGCAGCCCATTTTAAAGATAAACAATAGAGATTCCTGTATTTATGAGATAAGTTGAACGCAGTTACCTTGGTGAGCATTTCAGCGATATGAATCGCCGTCTGGGTGTGCAAAGTTAATGGGCCAGTTTGAATTGCAGATTTGCCATCCGCTAAGGCCATTAGAATTATCAGCTGAAACAAATAACAAAAAATAATTAAGTTGAAAAAGCAAAAGAAGTGTATTGAAAATGGAATTAAACACTTTACAAGGAATTCATTGCCTGCTACTTACTGCTTTTACCGATACCAACTCTTATAATTAGTCCTGCGGTAAACTATTATGAACATCCTTGAGAGAAATATCTTTTCGAGTGAATGTTTTACCAATAGAGTACGTCTAGGATCTAAACGTAAAGGTGCAGAATAAATATTCTTGAAGAACATTCCTAAAGTTCATTGCTTATTACTCTAAGGTCCTTAATAGAAGGGGGGACGCTTATTAATTTTTTGATTTTTTCTGACCCCCCCGGAGCTTATTTGGATACCCCCCCCGTTTATTAATTTGTATATGCAGTCATTCATATCCCTTATATCATTTGTCCTTTGATCTTGCAGGTGTGAAATTTCTGTAAAGTTTCTCTTAAATGAAGAGGTTGCATTGTACAAAAGTTTTAACACAGAGAAGTAGTGACATCCTAAAAAGATTAACATAGGCCTGACTGATGTACACAATGATAATTAGCCTGCTCATTTTAGTAAAACAACAATACATTATTACATGGTGATAAATGTCATTTTGCTATCGATTGTATTCAGAAGAAAATCTCCTTTGACCCTAAAAAAGAATCATCACGCGATTTTTCAGATTTTTTTACATTTCCCCCCCTCCACTTACTAGGACCCCCCGCTTTTTTATTTTTTTAAAAATGTTTGACCCCCCCCCCAACTATCAAAACCCCCCTTCTATTAAGGACCTTAGAGTAACAAAACTCGATTGGTCATCTTGCCCATTTTGTCAGTGGCGTAACGCACGGTGTGCGCCTTCAAGCAGAAACCAAAGGGCCCCGAACATTTTGGCCCCCGATAAATTTATCGAAAACGGGTTTTTGGACAAATGTATATGTTTCTAAATAACATTTACAGCATGATCAAAATGAGCGTAAGACTGGGTATGATTTGTGAATGTGAGCAACCATATAATAATGATGTAAGATATGGTTTAAAGATATTTGAACTATAATTGATTTTCTCAATGAAGCAGTTTGAAATTATTTATTCATCTAGTCTAGATATTTTGAACAAACTATTGCAGAATTTTACCGCAATTGCATTGATTACGTTTCATCATCATTATTCTTCATTATTTATAAGAATCACACTAGGACAAAAAGTTTAAAGTTATGTTGGCAGTTGTTGCAGAGGAGAAAAAAGACATTTGAACTTTAAAATATCTATCAAAGTCTAACACCCCATTCACATTTGCGAGTTAAACCAGCTTTAACTAAGTCAGGTTATTGAGTTGGGCCTTTTAGTTGGTCGATCCAACAAATCGGATCATTTGATCGGTTGAAATTTAACCTAGTATAAAAACAGCTGGTTTAAATGTGCTAATGTATGAATGCAGCATGAGCAAACATTGGTTATTCACACCAGCACAGATTTCTTTAATATTTTGATACATGGAAGTTTCAAATTCCATTTGCCACCATTAGAAAGCATAAAGAATATCTTAAGCAGAAGAATTTCTCTCACATGTTGTTGTATGTTATTGCTTTTACCCCAAAGATTGAGCACTGAGGCTTTAAAACCTAACTCAAATTTTATTAAGTATTGGGGCCCCAAAACACGACTTTCACTAATGGGCCCACATTGCTCCTTTACGCCACTGCATTTCATCCTTATGATATTTTGCCTCAAAGAATTGGCTTTTTAGGCAAGCAAAGCACAAAGATTTTGATTCCTGCCTCGCTCTTAAGTAAAGTGACCTCACCTGGTCTTGAAGGTGTTCGTCAATGCATGCCTCGTTTCTGATGCTCTTTAGCAGTTCTTCGGCCGCTGCAGTTCCTACTTGCTCTGCAGGTATGCCTATGTATTGAATATGAGGCAGGGGATCATCACACATCATCAAGCAAGGTGATGCAAGGACTTGAACAATTTTCTTGCTTACGATTATGCAATTTAGCAATTTAATGATCTTAAACATTTTGAACAAGCGATTTGCGTAAACATTTTGTGGTAAAAGAATGCTTTGAATACATAATTCGACTGAAAGAAAGACAATATTTCTTTTGAGATACCTTTCTTCCCAATTTGTGATCCTGATAATAGGCAACCTGTCGAAGTTTCAGCAATTATCCTGTCAGAAAAATACAGAATATCGTTTTCAAAGTGGTGCAAAAAGAACAATTTTTTAGAAGCAAGTTGCAACTGTAACAGATAATAGACAGAACGAAAAATGTATTCAAAAACCAGGCAAACCACAATCCCTGCAAAAAGTCTTGGAACACTCTTGTTAGTTTTTAAAAGCCACTTCAGCCGCCCCTTTCTCCCCCTAGAAACAATGTTGATTCACTACAAAGAAAGAAGGAGGTTATGGAGTACGTAATTTCTCGTAGTCTGAATGATAATTTTCTAGACAATCAACATTGCTTTTAGGGGGAAATGGGTTGAAGTAGTAGGAATCGAGAAATCAACGAAAAATAGAAAAACACAAGGCAAATTGCTGGGCCTTTCAAGATACTGTAGATACAAAAGTCGAATTTATCTGAATATAGATTTAACAGTTGGTATTTATTTTTTGTCAATGGTGAAGGGCATAATCGCCGATAAAAAATCAAACAGGTCTCGAATGCTGTTGATAATAAAACCTGAGTTCTTATTTGCTTATTTTTCTGGGCAGCTGAATCGGTTTCGATTGAAATCACAAAATACAATATTTTTGTTTATTAGCATCTCATTGATAACAATAATAGAAAACGAGGTACGCAATGTTATTTAGGAAAACACTCGTTTCTGATAAATAATACTTTATCTTGCAACGCATCGGAAGTAGAAAAACGATTGTCCGGAAGAAATTCATCTTGGCCTTTTTTACTTTACTTTCAGCCTTATTTTCGCACTAATATATCCTTCATTTTTATTGAAAGTCTTTGCGTTTTTCTAACTACCTCAAACCGCCATTTTTGGACGTACTTCAAGGTTCGTGATAAAGTTACTAATCACGAAAAGGTTTTTTTGTGCAGTACATTAAATTGTACATTAAAGGCTTGTTGTGCAATTGGTCATATTAGAGAACACGCCCTTGTTCAAATCTACATTTACAATTTGTTTTGAAAATGTTTTGCCTTTCACACACACGAAATGTCGGTTCAAATTGTCATGACCCTTGCTTATTTCTAATTTTAGATTGCTAATTTCAAAAGTCTTTTTCCTTCTGCTTTGCTAATCTTTGGAAACAAATGTAAGCTTGATTAAACGAAATTTACTCAGATTTAATACGTGACGAGGTACATGTTTTCGGTGCCCTTTGGGTTTATGTTTTTGGCACTGATTGTGCGATTGTGGAGTTTTGTGTTGATTATATTCAGCAGTGCAGCAGTGCTCGAGTAAGAATTACATTGTGTCCTTTTTACGGCCAAAGCAACAAGCATGCAAGTGTACACTGGCCTTGAGTTTATAAACTTTGTGTTGGCATAGTTTCATCCTCGCACGTTACAAGAAAACCTGAAGTTGGACTGTGGAGAGCAAAGGTTTACCTCGCAACCACGCAGGAGTGGCGGCATGGGGGGCAAGGGGGGGCTTTAGCCCCCCCTAGATTTTTGTTAGCCCCCCGTCGGCAGCCAATCAATTTTTGCTTTCTCAATACAGTCGGCACTTGATGGATATCACCCGGTTTACATGTTGTTTGAATGACATAAATAATCGAGGAGAAAACTGCACTGGCTGGTTTATGGTTTTCTCAATGGTTTTTCTTCGGCAATTTTACTATCATAGTGGCATTATATCCTGTCGCTTCCGTGAAAGCTGTGACTTAATTTCATGGTGCTCCTTCGCATGAACCACAATACCATCGTGCTCCTCTCGGTTGAAATCCCTGTTGCTGCTCATGCTAATGCCAATGAATGCGAAACGTGCAGAGATGCTTGATTTGGATCATGTTTTGGACCGTTTCAAGGAAATTTACCCTAACAACAGCAAAATCACGCTGTCATAAATGAAGTCTTTAATGAATTTTCTTCTTAAGGGATTCTCTTTTCGTTTCAAGACATTATTATTGCCAATGAAAACATTTCGATCATGAGCACATTTTGCGTAATAAATTCTTCAAAAAGCACTTCTTGTCCTTTTTCATCAACTATTTTTCAATAGCATTGTTCACCGCATAGCTTGCGACACACAAATGGTTTAGAGAAAACCATCGATTAACTTCTTCCAACATAGATAGGAAGAAATATTCAACAATAGGCAATATTTGCGCATTAAGTTTCTTACAAGGCACAAATCGCCGAGAAAATCTCTCGGACTCCGACACAGGTTGGAACAGGGCCGTAAATCTGTCATGTCAATTGGGGGGTCAGCAGAGCAAATTAATATAAAGTGTGCAGTGGGTCATGGCAGCAGGTCAGTAAAAAACAAAAAGAAAGATTATTAGATTTTGTAAAGTTTTTTCAGCTCTATAGAAGGTATTTACAGATATTTCTTAACACGTTGACTTTTTTATAATTGAGTTGATAACATTTTTCAGAGACAGCTTGAGGAAATTGAACCTGAGGGGCTGAGAATCGCGCTTAGTGATGTAGGAGGACCCACCATGGTTGAGGCCGACGCGAAAGAAAATTTGTTAAACCATACCTTCTAAATAGCTAGAAAAGCATCTCCCAGACCAAGTTTAACAAAATACTATAACGTTCAGAATAGACGTTTCTCAGAAGAACACTGATTATTGTTCTGGGAGAAATTGGGAAGGGGAAGAGTCATGCTTAAACTCTAGTGACAGACGTCGGGGAAAGAAAGAGAAGGTGTTTTCTATTCGAGAGCAAGTGATTTTTTCCTGAAACCATATCGGATTAAAAAAAATAAGGATGTATCTAAGAACATATTAGGGCTCAAAACGAAAATTTTCTTAAAAAAATAAAGGCTGAGCAAAAACTATTGCAGTTTAATAATAAAGAGTGTAGTCATTGCTTCTCGCGCAAATTAATTTTGCTTCTTTCCCTTTTTGTCTTTTGGCCTTGTTCCCAGCTACAGTTGAAAAACAAAACTCAGAATTTCATTTTTTGTGTCTATGCTATCATCATGTCACTAAATGTGCAATTCGACTAATAGGGGTTCAAAAAGTCGGAACTTTAGGACCTAGGCTTTGAGTTGGGATTACATGTTTTTGAGATTTATTCAAGGGGTGATATTTGGGGCTAATCCCCTACATGGGCATCGTCACTGACTCGACACCACTCTGCAAACATAAATAACTGCCATCAACAATAGTCAACTTGCGCTTGACACCATGACATAGAGTGGCTGAGGTTTGTTGCAAGAACACATAAAAACTTAGTTCGGTTCTAACCCAGTTACCAGGGATTTCTTCTTTAAAAGAAAATGACGATAATTTCTCAAAAAAATCGTTTTGCTAAAGATTTTTGGGGGGGTCCAGTCCCCCCGTCCCCCCCGGGAATTACGGCCCTGGGTTGGAAAGTGGGGGCGGGGAGGTGGCAAGGGAGAATTTTGCACCCCCAACAAACGATTTTGGAAAAATGCTCTATTGCTTGCTCTATATGCTTGCTTGCTCTTGGAAAAATGCTCTATATCGGTGCCCCTTCATTGGAGGTGCTGCTCAGGGGGCGTCGCGACTGGGGGGTTGTCACACCCACCCCAATAGTATCTCAATAGGAAATTTCAGGTAAAATCCGCTCGGTGGAAGAAACGCTCTAGGTATTTCAGAGACCTTCCTGTCATAAAATCAATGAAGGATCAAGCAATCTTAGGTAAAATTGTGCCTCGTGTCCATTTCTCCTCAAGTTTCTCAGTAGAAGCGTCAACTGCAATTCACTATGAGCTCCAGATTTTTCTTAACATTCATATAAGGCATGCTAAGATGGAGAGAGGGATCTAAATTTAAAAGTAACTGACAACCTGGTATTTTTCAAGACCACGGCGAAATTGTTGTTTTTATCTGCTGTAAAAATTTTTTGCAAAAAGACAATAATTTTCAATAGGATAAGGAGGATTGCTTCAGTGAAATCTGCTTAAAAGAGTGAATTTTCCAGGGAACTAGAAGCATCACAATTCGAAAATTTCCTGCCCCTTCGGCGGCAACCATCGTGCCGCCTCAGGTAGTAACTATATATTTTGCCCGTCCCGATATAGAGATTTGACAAGACTATTAGAAAAGTCGGTTATTATCATACAGAGTTAAGATTGATAAAATGTATTGCAGAGGTTTGTGACACCAGCTAAAAAGTTTCAGGCAATAATTTTTTAATCAGGTAAATTTGCATTCCACCCCCCAACGAGGCTTGCCTCGCGACGGCCCTGCCTGCTATATGGGGCAAATCGAATTTTTTTTTCTGTCGGCAATTTGACACATCCAGCGTCGGCAGTTACGGAGAATAAAAACTTCGGCACCTTGAAGGTTTGTCTCTAGCGCCACCCCTGACGTTTTTTGTCTAGTAATCTGGAACAAATATTAACAATGAAAGAAAGGGATCACCAAAAACTCGTTATATTTGATGATCTGGTCATTTACAGTTTCAAATAGATTGTTTCAGAGACTTGACTTCAAGTCATCGACGACTTTAAAATCTAGTCCATGGTGGCTTTTATCCTTTCAAATTTAAATTTTGGTATACTATAGAAACAGGCCTGTGGCTGTAGGGGGGTTTTGGGTGTGATAACCCCCTTGGAAAAAATTCTATTGTGAAAACGAGGATTTATTGCCGTCTAGGGGTAGGCAAATTTCCAAATTTCTCAGCAAATAAAGAATGGCTCACCCACTTTGCCCCCATAGCTAGCGACGGTGCTGCATAGAACATACTTGCTTAATCAGCTTCAGGGATAGAAGTCCTTAATCAAACGTGAAAAACCATGTTTTCATAGAAACAGGTCTGGGTTTAGTGTCCTTCATATGCTTAAATACTACAGAAACCCAAATACTTCTTAAAAACAATTTAAAAGTTGGAAATAAGTTCAAAAGTATACACACATGATACCACAGCCTGTCCCCGCAGCTTGATCCCTGGCAATCTGATGACTGTCTATCTTTATTGGTACACTTGACAATGATTTTCTAATGATACTTGTTGCCTCTTTTGCCATAATATTAGCAACCTTATGTAGAATTAAATGATTTTAAAACATTTATAACAGGTGAATTGGTAATAAAGCTAATTATTAAATGATGCAAAATCATGGAAAATGAAAAGACTGCATCACCAAACAAAAGGGGGTTTGCAAAAATCTTATTACCATGCCAGGCTTCCCCTGCTTGCCCCCTTCCCTCAATGCTAGGTCACAAGTCCAAAAAGAGCACAAAATTGATATAAGTTTATTATGAACAAAAATGTTGGAACATGTTTTGATGAGCTGGAATCTATCACCACTTCATAGAGGCCAGAACTAGAGAAGATTTGGAGATTTCGAGACAATAATGGCAAAAATAATACTTTTTGAAAAAATCCATGGACCATCAAGAATTTATGTAAATTTTTCTTTTGTATGTTAAAAAAGAAGTTCAAAGAACCATTTGACTGGGTGTAAAAGCATGAGCTGAATGAACCAGGCCAAAATAGACCAGAGGCCCATTGGGAGTTGAATTTTTTATTTGAAAGGGGGGTGCTGACAAAGGCAATATTTTTGTAAAATTCTGACAAAGTAACAAGATTTCCAATATTTTATGACAGCCTTGGTTCCCAACTATTGCAGCACTGAGATAAAGATTTGGAAAGGGAAGTGTTCTGCCATCATGACTTCAAATGGCTTTCGTGCATTATAACATTTATGAATCAATGCTAACATTCTAAGCAAAAAAAAATTAAACTAGTTTCCATAATGATCTGCTTGAGTCATGAAGGGAAAAAGGCATTAAATTGACGCACCTTCTTTGGCAATACACCAGCCACATAAGCCATACCTCTAACAAGGGTAACCTCTCCAAAATCTACCATCTGAACTGGCAACAAACTGTTCACTGGATTTACAGTAACATTTACTTCACCGCCACCTTTCGGGAAAAATCCTCTAAAAACAAAAAAAACCCTAAAAGCTATGGGAAAACACAAAAGCAAAAATATGGATGTTATAATGCTTCAGCTTTTTATAATGCACCAAGCATAAAACCTAAAAGATTAGTCAAAAGATGATGGTGTTTGTACTGGATGTGTCTTGTAAATAAAGTAATAAGTTTCACTTATTAACATTGTTCTAATTAACATAGAATTAAATCTTATTTTGAAGAGAATTTTGAAGAGAGTCACATTCAATAAGAGGAAAAGAATTCTTTACCTACGAATTATGTCACAACCCAATTCAACTCCAAATCTCTTTACAGTTGGAATGAATAGCTGAAAGAAAAGAAATTTGTTGTCTTTTTCTTAATTGTGTTGATAAAACAATGCAAATTTATCCAAAGAAACAAATCAAGACTTAATGGAGTTATGAGAATTTACCTCAGCAAAGAATTCAATAGGTGGTGCCATTTCCACATTGGTCCCTCCTTTCATGGAAAGTGTAGATTTTTGTGGGCCATAAAGGATACAAGGTAGTGCCACCTGGATTAACAGACTGACACTTCTGTATAAAGACAAATACAAAAGTACTAACATAGGCAAATAACATTAGACTGCAGATATTGATATGACAGCAAAAATTAAGAAATTCTGACAATAGCAGTAGGGTTTTTGTGTGCCAGAATTATCTTGATCTTAAAAGAATTGGATTCAATAGCAAAATCATAAAATAACGTAGTTGCAAAATGTAAATGAAATTTGGTACAAAGTAAAAGACTGATTGAGGAGAGATTGACTGAGCTGAATGAGGAGAAGAACAAAACATTTACCCTGCTGTTTGTATGTCAACCTTGAAGTCACCAGAGTTTATACATCCTGGCTCAAAATTTACTAAAGTTGATCCAACTTCAGCTCCTTTTAGCTTTCCATTGCAAATTGCAGTAACTAATTTTATGCCTGCGAAAGAGTTGATTCATTAAGACTTAATCCATTGCAAGACTATTAACCAATCAAATCCATCAATACGTTGATATGCATATATTTATTTTCCTTTGAAAACATGGTAATGAGGTACTGAGGTGTAAGAGAACAATTTTTTACATAACAACAACTGCTGAAATATACATACCAAACTATTTTTTAAAAAGCTGCAAATGATAACTGTGTGTAAACACAAAGTGTAAAAATATCTAAGTGTACAAATTTTTACAATTATAACAAGCAACTGTTCAAATCTAACATTTGAACCTTCACAAATTGCCTACATAGACACCAACATAACCAATATCCAACAATATATCAAGTTTGCATATTCCACAAAAAGAAAGAAGGTGCTAGTTTGTTGCAGAAGATGTTTATTTTAGCTATACTTAGGAAAATGCACCACTTTTTATCCAGACATTGGAGGCACTAGAAGCTTGTCAACAGTAAGGTGCACAAAATGAGTTTGATTTGAATCTGATGCATTGCATGAAACACAATATTTATTGAAATGAAATAACTGAGCCCTAGTTTGGCTGCATGAAGGATGTATCTTTTTACTTACCTCTAGTATTCATGAAAATATGAAGATAGTTCAAGCCAAGTTTGCCGAGCTGAGTTTCTTGGTGTCCATTAAACATTATGTCTGTTGATGTGATTCTCTTTACAAAAAGAAATAATGACATAAAAAAGCTCTTAGGGACTGTACCTGCAAGATGCTGTGGCCTCAAGCCAGGTTTGCTTCTTTTGCCCCTCACATTTTCAACAGTTATTGGTATTTTCATCAGGCAACTCAATGTGACTGAATTTCGTAGGATCTGGCCACCCTTAAACAAAATACTTTTTCTCCTGATTACTTCCTACATAAACAATAAACAAAACAATATTTTTCTCAATTAAAGCCTTTTACAAATAATGCATCACTGAGCTACTCAAGTCACTGATTTTGTATATAATAAAGAAATTATCATTATATATAATGAAAAACTGGAAACAATCAACATATATGTATTACACTACGTTAGTGCTTGATAATAAAGCTTGATAAATGACACAGTCTGGGTCTTTTTACCATAAAAGACTCTAAACAAAGAGAAAAAGTTGATGAAATTAAATTGATAATAAATGGCCTTGTCACTATTTACAACGCTGGGTTTTATCAAAATCGTGGCTGTTATAAATAGGCTGATTGTAATATTTTGATATTGCCCTTTTTAATACCGATTTATCCTCTTTAGGCTCCTGAAGTACTTCTAAGGGAACAAGACTTTTCTTTATCTACTCTTATCTTTGCTACTCTCCTTTTGTGATCCACCTTGTCACAGACAAATGTTTCAAAATTTGCCTTTTGTGCTTGTGTTATCTTTTTCTGATGGGAATTAACATAACAAGAGTGACCACAGTGGATTTCAATTAAGCATAAGATTCTATAATTTTTTAGAAGTTATATATTTCAAGGCACTTCTTGCCCCCTCTGCCCTTCCTCAAAAAGAGCAGGAGGGGCTGCCCCCAGCCCCTCAGTGTGGGGGATCCCTGTGAACCTCTCTTCCTGACATTAGATTTTAGCGAACATAACAGGTATGTCAAGAAGAGCTCTGTTATCAGTAAAGCTAAAGCATTTCTTACCCAAAGTCATAGCCAATGGGTGGAGATAAAATTCTCCCAATCAAAACAACATCTTCCTCTGCCATTCACAACTATGTGCATTTCCTTCACAAGAGTTTTAGCATGACATCCCCCTCCCTAATATTCCCAAAAAACAATAATAAGTTTTTTAGCAGTTTAGTATTTTGCTAAACTTTAGTCTGGGAGATGCTTTTAGCCCTTTGATAAGTTAAAATTTCAAAAATTTTCTTTCACGTCGGACCCAAACATGGTAGGTCCTCCTACCTCACTAAACTCGATTCTACATCTACATCATGCAGCCCCCAAATTATACGCCATAAAGATACATGCCTATCACAAAGGAAAATCAAATTTGACATTTAATTTAACCTCACGTCGAGAAATCGATATTTCATGGGCAATGAAGTTTGTTTTTATTGCTAAGCAGTTTGTTCTTGGTAAAGACAAATGTACACTGGAAAAGCTTTCACTAGTAGCCTATAGATAAACCTTTGCTTCAGGTCTGCAGGGCAACACTCAGTTTTTCAGGGCCAAGTTACCCCCTTGGCTGAAATAAAATAAGGCATGGTTCAAAAAGGAAAACTTTGATTAATATACTTCGCAGTCAACGCAGAGAGCTTGTAGTTGAACGAAAATACTTACTCCTTCCAATATTTCGCCATTTATAACTTTAGCAGACATCATTTGAAGCCCTTCAGGAATTTTTTTGCTACGTACGCATACAACAACTTTTCTTCAATGATATACATCATTGCTTTTCTTAGAAAGAAATGGAATCGAGGTTTATCTTTCCAAAACGAGGCATTTGCCATATCGGTTTTGTGGAGACGGAGCTGTCTAGGAGACGGAGCTGTCTAGTTTCCATACTGCTCGACCTGATGACGTAATCGTTTTCCCCTAAACCTAACCCTAACTTTAAACCTAAACCTATCCCTTGTCATAACCCTAACTCTTTACTTGAAATAATTAGTCATGCTAATTTATGGCTATTAATCTGCTTATTTATGACTATAAGGTCGAGCAGTTCCGTAGGAGACGCAATCAAGAATGCAAGTGTAAAACAGGAATGCAATCAACAATAGTTTAAGAAAGAACATGGATGCTTAGTGGAAAGCATCTGAACAAAAATCAGTGCTTCAATAAAATGACAACGTGCTTCCTTCTCACGCCAAATCAAGCTAGAAAAATCAGTGGCGTACAGAGGCGGCGGACAGTGCTATTTATGCTATTTCATTAATAGCAATTTTTTTCCAAAGAAATGTTCTGCTTTTGTATTAGACAAATTAATGTAACATAAATTATACGAGTAAAATCTTTTCTGGATCTTGATTTCCTTATCCAGTTCCTTCATTCCATGATTTATTTGACCCCTCTGTGCTTTTTGATATTGCGATTGCCCGACTTAATCTATTCAAAGAATGCCGCGTGTATACCTTTCTGATCCACGCTGTGGCCGTCGATGGCCATGCTATTACTTGGCCCTTCTGAATAGCAAACGGAGGAAACTAATAGGAGTTGCGCCATAGTGTGGCTATGGTGTGACGCAACGGGCTATTGTGAAATACGCATATCTGACAGCCTTGCTATTAAATTCTTGGAATGAATAGCAAGAGCTCACACGCGATCACGCATACAAATTGTCAGTTCGATAAACGTTGGGAAGAGAGTAGAGACCTTTTCAGATACAAAATGAATCAAGTAGCGTCAGGTGGTGTACGATGGGGTGTTTCAACTGTCTTTTCCCTCATATCTATGCAAGGAGGTAAATTAACTCATGAACAGCGCCTTCGTCTTAAAAAAGACGGACGCCCATGCCCCGATGTTAAAGTTAAAAGTCGTTCGTGTGAAGCTGTGTATAGAGGTTTTTCTTGGATATGTGGTGATTCAGAGAAGAATACATATTTCTGCTGGCCATGTTTAGTCATGGGAGATCATTTGAAGGTAAGAAGATTACTATTTTCTATTTACTATTTTCTCTCGTCGGAAAGTCTCGTTTATAGCGGCTTTGCTATTACAAATTGAAGATGAATAGCAGGGCTTTTAACGAGCGGCGGAGAGCCGCGGTAGTCTATGCATATGTAGCCACCTTTTACAAACGCAAGGAATTGTGGCATTTTCATGAACACACTTATTCACAAGACACCGATTGATCAGATGTCCCTGTCATAGTCCCTACAAGAAGCCATTTTAGTATTACTTATGCTCAAGTTTACGAAACTGACCATCTATAACTTAATGTTTAGGTTTAGGCATAGTTAACTATCGTTTAGGCGTTTAGGTAAAGACTACATTTGCTGTAATTGTTTCCATTACTACCAAGATACCAAGGGGTGTATCACTCTTCCCAAAAGGCGTCCGAGATTTTTTAAAACATTAGTATTTTTGCCAAAGGTGTACGAAGGTGATACGCTCCTCGATTTCTACAAACAACTATTTGAAATTAAGAGCAGTTTGATGCTAAAATCGAGCTAAATATAAAAAACAAGGTTGCAACTCCACTGTAACTTTTATAAAAATGTGGGTGATAATAGAAGAATTTTTATCAATTTATTCACATAATTTATTTCAGATGAAGGCTTGCTTCGTGCAACCAACTGGATTTGCATCTGATGGCAGGAATTTGTCGAATGTTGCTAACAGGCACCAAGAATCAAAAAGTCACATGACATGTCACGCTTCGTACAAGCTTTTAGGGAATGTGGATGTGGCCAGTGCACTTGATGAAGCAAGACAGAGAGAAATTCTGAGACATAATGAAAATGCATCAAGATATTCAAAGATGATGAAGCACCATATTGATGTTGCAGTCTACTTGTCTGCCCAAGGACTCGCTTTCCGGGGGCATTCTGAAGACAAATTCTCTCCAAACAGGGGAAATTTCATTGAATTGATGGACTTGTTAGGGAACTACAGTCAAGAGTTGCGAGTTTTCCTAGACAAGGAACGTTTGTTGTAAAAATAAAATAAAAACAACAATAATGTTTGAGCTTAGACGAAATGTTTTCTTTTTTTCAAAATATTTCGTATCTTAATAGAAATTTTTGTGGATTTTTCAGAAACGAGCGTAGTTTTGGAAAATAGACCATCATTTAGGAGCAGTGATAACTTTATATCTGTATCCCTCTTGTAAAGGATGGGCGTTTCCGCCCTTTTAAAGGGCGTGGCCCCCGGACCCACGTTGTTCACTCGCTTCGCTCGCGATTAATAGCAATTTATTATTGCTCCCCGCCGCCCCTGGTGGCGTAGCGTGAGCGCAGAACTTAGGCATGCGGTAACATAAAATATACGGCTATGTTGAATGAATGTAATCGTAATTTCAGTTTCTAAAAAATACAAGCGGTAATTAATGATAATCGTGATAGCAAATTTTGATTTTCAAAGTAACAAATCATTTGTACTCTAATCAATCAAGGTGTCTATTCTTTGCATCAGAGGCTCCGACACAGGTTGGAAAGTGAAGGGGGGCCAAGGGAAAAATTATCACCCATGCGAAAGTTTTTGAAAAAAGCTCAATTGTTTAGCAAGACTTTTCAGAATAACTCCTAGTGCTAAAACTGCTTTGCAAAATATTTTATTCTTATTCATATTCCTCAAGAAAAGGCATCACCTAATGCCCACCTAATGTAAGAATTTTTTATGCTATAATGAAGCTGGGGATTCCCGCAAGAAGGAGCTCTCCACATTGCGAAATTGTTAACACACTGCAGAGCCTAAGCGAACAGGAGCAACAGTTTCTGCTCATTTTTTACTCTCATAGTTAACTAAGATGAAAATAGTGAGCTATGAGAGTTGTTAGAATTGAAGATGCTTCCATGTGTAAAGTTTCAGAAAGTTAGTCCCGGCAAATCATCATGTATTTAGCAAGGCTTGCGCTCAGGTCTACCGCATGCCCTGGTCCGTAAATTCTGACTATACTGGCAAGCCTTTTGACTTGAATTACGGAATGCGGATCATGACAAATAGACTCTGACCCCACTTTGACGAAACTTTTTCTCTTTTCAACAGTCACAAAGTAAAGAAAGGAAAATAATTGGATTTGAAATGATCTATCACGCAAAGAGTATTCGCAAAAAGCAGCTTATAGGTAGAAACATGTTGTGGATTATCAAATATTTGGGAAGGCTTGCGCTCAGGCCGACCGCAAGCTCCAGTCCGGAAAATTCTCACTTCTCTCAGAAGCTTCCCTCGAGTTGCACTGAAGCTGCACTGGAGCATCACATGTTTCTCTTATTTTGGACCAATGAGGTGTATAGAATACGCTAGAGGGATAACTCTGTAGGGAGGCAGTGAGGCCTATCAATTTCCGCATTGCACGGCAAGAAGTGACTCACAGTGTATGGCGTTCTATTGCATCTCGCTATTAGGATTGTTATTTTGTGCGTTTCTTTTTGGTCTAAGAATTGACTGATAAGAAAAAACAGTCTTATAATAGGGTTGGAAATAAACGACTCCAGCCAGTATTTCTACGGATATAAGTGGGGATGGATCAATTTTACTTCACCGGTTTGTTGACGATTAGGCCTATCCTTACCATTAGGTACTTCAATATTGTCGCTTTTCTGTAAAATTTATACATTTTTTCTTAAATTTTATTTCTTTGGTACTTGCTAGATTCCTCCTTGTTTCATGACCGATGCCTTGCAAGGTGATCACTTGATACACCTCGTCAAAAATATCGGCTTTAAATATACGGCTGTTTGTTTGTGAAGGTATGCCAAAAAAATTAAAGAGAGAAGTCATAAATAAAAACAAACCAGGTATTCCCCTTCAGATCAACAAACTCGTTTTGTTTAGCATGTTTAGGGACTGCGAAAAAAACGCTATAGATCCTCCAAAACAACGGTCGGTACCTTCACTGTTAATGTCCAGAATTATGCTTTACCTTCCAATTTTCCTTTTATTCAACAATTTAGGTTCGTAGGTGTTTCAGATTTTCCAGTTTAATCACTTAAAACTGAATTTTCGCCTTAATTCTTTGCTTAATTTTGCACGCTTCATACAAGAGTTTGTACGGCACTTCTCCGCTCTTGCCGTGCAAATCAGTTTTGTCCTGGCTTCACTTCCTGTGGTCAGGGCTACCTCGAGTTGACCCTCTAGCGTATTCTATACACCTCATTGTTTTGGACAGGCAAAAAGAGTGATGTGGAGGGGCTTCAGTTTTTCAGATTTTTCGAATTTCATAATTTTTAGCGATCTGTTTACTTGGAAAAATAGCCAATTTGGGGCCAATTGGCCTGTTGGCGCTAGAGTTCACTGCATGCTGCTCATGACAAGAAAGAGAAGCCATTTATTGCGGAAATTGTTATGCATTGAAAGTGTTGCAAGAGTTTTAGAATTTGTCTATAAATTTTTACGCTTGCGCCGCAAGCGTAGCATACATAGACGCTACGCCACTGAGAAAAATACATCCAATACTTTCTTATCGAGTCGCCTTCGCTTTTGCTTTCCAATTGCGTTTGAGTTTCTACGCTTCCATGCGCCCTAAAAGGCTTGAAGATATCGCGGGACATTTGAATAATCTTTGCAGAGTACATTAGCAGTGCACGAAAAACTTGAAAAGAAGGACGAAGAATCATTTCTAGCAAAAGATTTAATGTTTTGAAAGAAATCAGCAATTGCACATTACATAGGAAAGGTAATAAAGTAAAATACACCGTCAAAATAAACCATGTCCAGACTTATCTTTGGAGAATTTGTTGTATCTTACCAGGGACAGACAATCACTGCCAAAAGTCTTGGAACACTAACGTAGGTTTTCAAAGGCAAATTCAGCCATCCCCCTCTCCCCCTAGGAACAATGTTGATTTACTTTAGAAAAAAGAGAGGGGTTATGGAGTACGCTTTTTCTTGTGGATTGTTTGACATTTTTCTATACTTTCAACATTGTTTTGGGGGGAAAGGGGGGCGGAAGTGGTAGTATTCAAGAAAACAAATGAAAAATAGAAAAGCACAGCCCAAAGTGTTAGGTGTTCCAAGTAATTTTGGCAGTGATTGGAGCTTCTTTTGAGAAGTCATCACATCAGGGCAATTTGAAGACATCAATGGCAATCAACTAGTGTTATATATAGTAAGTTTGCATTTCAAATTTATCAAAAACTGAGCAGAAGTGTTTGAGTTAATCTTGAAAGAAAATTTGTTTGTACATCTCTCAATTGCGAAATGAAAAGATGTCTGTAGCCAATTCAGGTAGGTTGTTAGGCGACATATGTTGCTTTTCGTGTTCTGCGAATTGGGTTCACATTTGTCCAAGCTACTTGATAGCAGAATCCTCTCCCGAGTCTTTACTGAGCCTTTTGGCTAAGAAGCTGGGTAAAATACCTAGGCATGATATCGCAGCAAGAATGTAGCAAAATGCCCCAGGAGACTGCACGACCAGTGACGAATATGTGGTATGAACAATGACAGTTGCAACTATCGAGGCAACTGCATCCATTGATAACGCCACTGAAAGAATTGTGCCGTAGTTCTGAGGACCTCCTTTCTTAGTAACTACAGATCGTAGGGTGGGAGAAACAAGTGGCCCAAATATATTCAAAATCTGAATACCAAAGAGCATTTGCGATGACGTTGCACTTCCAAGCAAGATGAAGTAAATGCTACCGAGACCAAAGAATGCCATGCCTATGTTTATATCGCTCCATTTCAAAAAACGTTGGATAAGGACATTGAGTATGACACCACCGGCGACGAATCGCAGAAGGCCTTGAAGCGAAAGCAAGTAGCCGACATCAACAGGCGACATGTTGTATGGTTGATTTGTGATGTACAGGACAAGAATAAGCGACTCACCCACCAGGCAAATCGTCGATAGAAAGAGAGCTGTCAAGAGGGCTAGAATAACTCTGGAGTCGCCTTGCTCTCTCAGAATGACGTTAAGTTGCTTAAAGTGTTTAACAGGGTGAAACTCATTGAGAGAGCTTCTCAATCTAGACATCGACGTTTGCTTACTTGTTTCGTGAACTCTGTTCTGTGATGTATCTGTTTCAATATCTTTGTCTTTATCATTGGCAGAGTCTTTTAGCTGCTCTTCTTTGTCATTCTCCGACTTCTGTCCAACCACATCATTTTTCACTAATATGATTAGCCAAAGTAAAGCAATCGTGTCGAATCCAAAGGAGAACAAATATGAAGCTGAGAACCCGAACGCAGTAATTACAAAGCCACTAATGAAGGTGAAAATGCAAAGTGACAAGCTGATAATGCCATCAAGAAGTGTCAATCTGAAAGTTCGATCCTCTTCTGTTGTTATTCGCGATAGGTAGGAACAAGTTAACATCGTGACTCCAACGATATCTCCACTAAGGCCCCCAAGACTGATGCAGATGAATAGGTAGGCCGGTTGGACCGATTTCCACGAGAGAACAACGTATGTAATACTCTGCAGGTCAAACATAACAAGTTGAAAAAGCAGCGCACTTTTTGAGCCAAATGCATCTGCGAATGACCCTAAAAGTGGCACTGTGCACAAAGATATGGACAATGAAACTGAATAAAGCGCCAGCATCCATTTGGCAGTGGTGGATTGCACTTGTGCTTGCTTTCCCGTGTTTGCTGGACTAGTTAGGTTGCTGCAAACAGATGTAGAGAAATCTCGCTGGCAGATAGAGTTCAGCATGAACTGAGGAAGAATAACAAACTTAATGACCGCCGACGCGATACACAGAAACAGAACTGGCTCAACTGTCATCTTCTTTAGATAACTTTTCAGTGGCTGTTGTCTAGCAGCCACTTCTGGCTCTGGCGATAAATCAGACATCTACAAAAAAAATGATTTATCAAATAATTTTTGTTAAATGATTTGGTACATTGCCCTTGATTTTGATTGATTAAAGTAACATCTTTTTCTTCATTTCAAGCAACCCCTCTCCCTGATCCAAGCAAATTCTGCCCGTGGCACGTTGGTCACCAAGCACAGTTTTTGGTTCTGTAACCTACACTGTCAGATGTTCCCCTTCGTTGGCTTACGAGCTTGATATCTACTTGATTTAAAAGTTTACAATGTGACAGCACCTCTGTGCTACTCTTAGTCTGTTCTTTAACGTCTTGGTTTAGTAAACGCCGTATAAAGTCTTATACATCGAATGAATTTGGGCGCTTTCTAGAGGAATTACGGTTTGCTGATCTTTGGGTTTGCGCTTATTTTGTTGCATATAGTCAAAGGCGAATCAAGCTGGCTTCATAAGTAAATGTTTCAAATTCATTTCAAAGTCAAAGAAACAGTAGTTATCAAAGGCTTGGTCTTTCATTGGCGCTTTTAACAGCATACAAATCTGTATCTTTGGTATATAGAGAACAAAATAGATAGATGCTGAAAAAATAAAAATGCTTTTGCGCAAAGTTGAAGAAAAAAGGAAAAGAAGCTTTTGAGGTTTTGTTTCGCGTTGTGAAATATCAGCTTACAAAAACAGATCTTATCTGCGAAGAGTCACTGTTGCACCGGGGCATTAGGAAAAACATGCATCGGCTTCTGCTATATAATGTTAACGGAGCACAAAACACAGAAATTTCCTGTTTCATAAACTATTTGCTCGATAGAAAGCACGTTACATATTACAAGTTGTAAGCTTGTTCATTATGACTAACGTTATATTCTGAACAATGGCGTACCGCAAGGGTCATTTCCATTGCCATTGTTGTCCATTACTTTGGCCAATCCAATTAATAATAGGATAATGTAAAATAAGTATCTAGGCGGACGACACAATAGTTCGTTTCCGGTAAATTTTTAATGGCTGTTGACGAAATCAAGAGGCAACATTAATCTATGAATGATTCAAAACAGTAACTTAATACTGAATCTCAAATATGGCAAAAATGCAATGAAAAGCAAATCTAAGTCATGGATAATCCTTCCCGGGGTTGCTTGGGGGCATATAAATCTTTTTCATATTTTCAACTTCATATCAAGCTATTTATAATACAGCATCTTTCAGCATAGAACATTAAAGATTTAAGTTACAGTCTATGAGATAATTCGGAAAAATTACAACAATATTCCACAAAGTAATGTTTCAGTGTCAATTTGAATTGAGCACCTTGGGATTGCTTTAAAGTTCTTTTGAACTGCGTGAATGTTGGCAACTCTCTGATACTGACAGGGATGCTGCTCCATACATTTATGCATATCAAAAGTTTATTTTTATACCCTGATGTACATGTACTTGCACAACACGCTGAACTACTTTTAAGTTAATCATCTTGATGATTTGCTCTTGGAGAATCACCTGTTCATAATTTTAAAGGTTATGGCTTACCAAGTATTCAGATCGAGAAGGTATGATTCAAGTCTTACATTGCCAAAAAACAAAAAGAAAATTTGCCTGTTGAAGGGCACTGATCTTGAAAATTGCAAACTGATATTTTGAACCAATCCTTTTGAAACATTAATTTAAACATCGATTAAACATTTTATCGATCTTTACTTATAGTAAAACATGACTTGTACAGAAAAAGGTTATCATGTATAGCACGAATATGTTATTTTATAGCTGGCTTTAACGATTTGTTTATGTTACTTTACGTTGAAGCCTAGATGTCGTTATGATCGTGTAGCTGAACCTAAGGCTATTGTTGAAACGAGACATAGTGAATGGGGTGATAAAAGATGCTTTTTATGAATACCAAGGAACTTCTTTCTAAGCATTTGCGAGGGTATAAAGATTATAGAAGAAGTGTCGTGAATGAAAACAAGTCAAAGAGAAATTAATTTTGCAAGATCACTTCCAGGCTCTTCAACATTAATTCTATCAGGTATCAATAGCCCTTTTACGTTTCCAATAAACAAGTGCCTAAATATCTTTGAAACAGCACCTTCTGACCTAATATGCCTAAACCATTGGGACATTCAATGTCGAGGGGCAAATCACTCCTGAAAATGGTGTACGAGATTAATAATCACTAGTGATTGATTGACGATTAAATCAATTTTGTGTGTGATTAATTTAAATTTTAGTGATAAAAGTGATTAGTTTTTTACTAATTTGTGATTAATTTGTGATTATTTCGAAATTGAATCATAGATTCAAAAGTGCTCTCAAATAATTTCATGCGCATAAACGTCGTTTGAGCACGTGATGGTAAACCAATTCATAGGCTAAATTAAGCAACCTTTTTTAATAAATTAAATGACAACCTATCATGCCAGTTTGGCAAAGATTTTCCAACATACCATATGAAATTGAAAAATAAAAATTAGCAGTGGGGGAGGGGGGGGGGGGGGATTTAGAGAAAAATTTGACTGTTGCAGATTTGCGAAAGAAAAAGGTGCAATAGTTTAATAACATAGCAAAAAACAAAGCAAAAAACAGAGTTATATTTTATGAACAGCAGCATAAGCAAATATCAAAGCAATATGATATATGATGGGTTTTCTACGTCATGGATGCAGGGTGACATTGGCCTAAATTGAAAAACAGTGAACAGTTGTTGAACACCTTGCAAAAGACATTAAGGCAAATGCATGTTTTCTGTTGTGTGGGCCATCTACGCTCTTTGTTAGAATTTCAATTTGCATTAAAAGAGCTATCTCTCCTGTACAGTAGCATTAATAACATGGATGGAAATAGCTTTGGATGAAAAACAGTGAACAGTTGTTGAACACCATGTAAAAGACATTAAGACAAATGCACGTGCTCTGTTCTATGCCCCTCGCAAATGATATCGCTATTGCAAAATTAAACTGTCATTCCTGAAACTTTCACCGAGGGCAAAAATTACAAGTTCCGGAATTATGGAACTTGATTATCAAATTTTATTTGGGGAAATTACAAGAATCTGACATAAATAACTTCCCATGAATGTAACAGTTGCAACGGCAACAGCCGGAACTGTCTGGATCCCCCTGCGGCAATCAACAAAAATGAGTGAAAAATGGCTGCTATTAGGGGTGTTTCTTGCTCAGATCAACATCAGTGGCATTTGGGCAACAAAACCAGCAATGGTTAGTTCAGTGACCAAGGCATCATAACGAGGCCTTAATTTTTGCTCCATCGCAGGGTACTTAGAAAAATGTGTTCTCGAGCGTGCTTTTGCAGATTTTCGAACGTGTTCATTAAAAGTGTGAAAGGGAGATTCTCAATATTACACTTCTCAATAACATATGCGAATAAACGTTGTCAAAGATTCTAATATTTCTTTTTAAGCAATTTTTGTGATTAAAGTTATACTTTGTGATTATTTCTATCATTTTATTAATGTGATTAATTTGTGATTAAAGTGTGATTATTCTAGAGTGCGCACGTGATTTTAAGCAGTGATCTGCCCCTCGTTCAATGTCATTTTTACTGCTACCGATACACTAACTAAATTGCTTCCCAGCTTTGTTGAAGTGCACGCAATTTTCCCCAAGCTTTAAGGAACATTCTATCCGAAGCTTTCATTTTTTTAGTGGAACAAATTATCTGATAACCCCGGCAAATCAAACCTAGCCCCCTAGTCGTATTAAGGCCTTGAGAAAATCACCACTAGTAACGGAATTTCCACAAATGGACGAGATAAAGTACATAAGTACATTGCGAATTCACGATTTGAGTCCGCCAAATTCTATGATCTTTATTGTATCCGATTTTCTTGTACAATATGAACAAGGAGGCAACTAGATCATGCTTTTAGATGATCTATCATGAAAAAAGTGGAAAAAGCTCTCAACAGTGAATGCATACGTAGGTGTATTCTTACCGCCAAATTAGAGTAGGAAAGATTCTTTGTCATGTCAGTGTCTTCCTTGATCACAAATTGAAATAAAAACGAACCCACCAAGTCCTTAAGGAAACTCAAAGATTTAGAAAGTATTTTAACAATTCAATTAGCCAGTTTGAAAATGAAACAAGATACAGATCAAGGATAATGGTGTGGAAAATGACGTCATTTCCGTAGAAAAATAAAGAGAAGAAACTTGGCTCCAAGTAGACAAAAAGAAGATTAATGAAGTTAAGATTGGAAGTTCATAAGCAAGATTATCCTCATCTCAGATCTGTCAGTCTTAATTTGGGAATCTTATTACTTTCTCGCAAAGATGGTCAGCTATTTTGCAAACATCACCTCCATACATGGATCAGTGCCAGTAAATAAAAACCCGTTGCCAAAGTTACAAGGCAAAACAAAAGTGTCTCGATATTAGACGAACCTTCGCATAAAAGATGCTTTTCACCAAACTCAAAACATTTTAACCTTTATCAAAAGCTGAGAGGTTTTATACCCTCCCCCTAGATATTAAATACGCTATTTAGATGTAAAAGCTGGGTAATTAAAATTATAGAGGGGGTTGCTGCGAGAGCCTTGAAACTACTGGTTCATAATTGCTTCACCGCAGTTAAAGGTGAAAAAGAGATATGTTGGTAGCAGAGATATCCACATTGAGCTAGGGGAGGGTGATTTAAAATCTCAGCACCGTCTTACTATACATAAAAGCAAATAAAATATAATTCTCTAATCAAAAACTAGACATACCTCCGTAAAAGATATTTGCTATGTTTTCCACAAAGTATTCAATGCGATATGATAAGGAACCTGTTGTCCAAAAATGCTGTGCCATTACAGCTTTTATCTGGTACATGGGTTTTTATCTGATGCTTAGCCACACTATGGCGTAGAAGAAATCGTAGAGGGATCAAAAGCTTTTATACTATCGACCATGGCATCTTTTTTTAGAAAACGTTATCTTGTTATGGCTTAAAGGGTCTATTCCAAACTCATTGACAGACTTCTCAAATATTCCCTACTCAATGCGAATACTTCAATTTAAACGACAATCAGCAAATTTGTGCAACAAGGATCCATGTTAGGTCCAATTATCTTTATTTATGGTATTGAAGTAAAGTTGGCTACAAAAGATTCGTTCATGATGCCTATGAAATAAAGGAAGCCCTGGCGGCAATGTATGTTCCTAAGTCAGAAAACACAAAATAGAAATAAACTGCGTTATTTGCTAAGACATATTGATAATCGCGATAATCACATTAAGAAATTTCCGCTTATTCATGTAGGAAGAATTAGCACAGGTATAGGATGATGGTTAGGATCGGGGACTCGAGTTCCTGGCATGAAGTTGAAAAAGTTGAAAATATATTCACTTTATTAAGACCGACCTGTTTTGCACAACCATTGACGTTTTAGCCTGTGTCCTACCTAAAGACAGTGTCACTTTGTTTTAGTAATTTCTGCCTTGCTCGTGGCTTTACGAAATAATAAAGCTAGATTGCTATAAGTTAAATGTTTTTCCGTTTTGCACAAAACTGCATCGGCCATAGACCCAGGACTACTTTTCGAAAGGGGGGACTGTGCCCTACTTCTTTTCCTAGTAATTCTGAAATATCATCGCTAATTTATACCAGGGTCAAATCTTTGATTGAAACGATATTATTTTTTGACATTTGCATTCATTTATGGCCTCTATAGTGCTCTTGATATCTAAAAACTCAATAAACGCTGGCAAAATGTTACTACTTTCAATTCTTTATTTTTAAGATTTTTCTACTCAAGTAACAGGTAGATATTATAAAAGATTTAACCCTAAAAATGGAAAGGTAGAGAGATTGATATTGAGGAGGCATGCAAACGAAAATAACTGAAACGTTCATTTTATATACAATATAGAGAAAGCTTTACGCCTTTCTACATCTTTTAGACAGTCCATTTCGTGTTGGACTCTTTCAGTTATTATTTTTTTCCTGTATCGTAAAATAAACTTGGTTCAAAAGTGACAAGACTAAATATGTGACTGTACGTCATAAATGATCTTTTTAGGCTTTTCAGACTAGCTTTTCCATGCATCAATGTCTTAACCCTCGCCTACTGCAGCTATTTCGATCGCACTGAAGTACAAAAAATTATTTTGTCTTGTCTATCATGAAACTGCACGCAAGGATGCAGCGCCCAATAATGTTACGAAAGATAAAATATATATTGAGAAATCGGCTTCATTCAACGAGGACATCAATTTAATTGGATTAGACCCCCAAACTATCTTCGCTTCCTTTTACAACTTTTCTTTTAGCAAAAATGACTGATTGCACATCTTTACTGATTCCAATACTGAAACAGTCCTATAGCTGTTTAATAACTCCTTGAAATCATAACAGTTTATTAACTAAGCTTTCTTAATAACATATTACTGTGGATTTCTGTTACCTCTACTTGAATTCTCTTCTCTCGTTGCTTTTCCGGAATTTTCTTCTCTCACTGAACATTTGCAAAGATAGCCATATAACTGAAGACTTGGCATTCAACAAAAAATATATAGCAATCTTGTTGGCTCCAAGTTGCGTCATACTCTAGTGAAATTTACAAATCCTGTCAATAAGACTTTTTGGCGGCAGTCTAATGAGAGAGTTTTTCGCACGGGGCGCCAAGCAGGTTTCCATAATTGTCTTCTTGAATAAAAAAGCGTATAAAAATTGCGATGAAACAGAAAACAGTGCAAAAAGAAACATTTTACGAATCTCGAAGAGCAAATCTAATAATATGGCATTTAGAGGAATTTCAAAAAACCAAAATGTGACTAATCTATTTTGAAAATTATTATAAAATTAATATATTTAGCAAACAACACGTGACTCCATTTCTCACAAGATAGATGAAGTCTTTCATGTTTGAAAAACATTTTTGATTTCATTTAATATGCTGCTCAGCAACTGAAAGTCTGTTCCTTTGATATCCACGGAAATGCTGTCGTTTCCCTAAAATATTAAAAAAACGTAGTAGAGTTGGTTGTTGATCTCAGTTAATGAAGACATCTGTCTGTTAAATTCACTTATGAAATAGCAAAGAATTTTCTGAATATAGTGAGTAATTGCGAGGGGTTGTTTGAAATTAAGAATGTTGAAAGTGAACAGAAACCAAAGAGAACTGATTAATATATGAGTCGAGATATGCAGTTAAAAATTTTCACAGAGCTTTTCTAACCATTCTATTAATACTAAGGGAATACGATTACACAAATTAATGTACGCGAAAAGATTGGGCTCACTGTTCGAATATGGCTTTCTAAACTCAAACAAGATGATTAACTTTTGGTGTCATAATATAAAAACTGGAACAATCCAAAAAGCTAACAGGATTGTTAACATCTGCTTTGGATGCTAACCATGTTTAAGCACCATCATAAATGAAAACTTTATAACTGAGATGAAACAGTTCAGATATAAACATTACTCCCTTAGTACATAATGACAATCGGTATAACTACAAAAGCGTCTAGCTTAGTGAATTTGCTACCTTTTGCTTGACCAGGAGTAATATCTCGTGATGTTGAATAGTATAGCCATAAACTGATGCACTCATTTCGATTCTTTCTACAACTAGGGATGAAATATAAATACCATCACTAGAAAGAAGCCTTCTGAGGATGTCAATATTGGTTACCTAAAATACAAGAATGGACAGTCCTTTTTGATCAGTCCAAGCTTTTGCAGTTTGCAATGCAACTACACCAGAATATCTTTATTTCACCTGATGATATTAGCTCGCTTACCTGAGGCGTGAATTTCGGAACAAATTTTTCGTATGACGTCATCAAATTCGATGTCATTAGATACTTGAAGCTAAAGAAAAAGCGATGAATTAAAAGGAAATGTTTTTACAAATCTGCGATACATAAACCTCGAAAACAGGCTTTGAAAAAATTTACAAAATAAATGAATGATGTTTGTAGACAACTTAAGCCGTAAAACTACAATTTTGGCAAAAGAAAGCAACAACAAATGTAGTGTAATAGCCTGTTGGCATCTTGATTGAATCAGGAGCTGCCCCTTTCTTAAGGTATATCATAATTCATCTTGATACATTATGAAATCATACAACATGATAACATTGATTAACATACGCCCTGGTGACCTACACCCCCTAAGGACAATTTGGGGTGACATAATTACAGAATTACATAATTACAGAACAATGTTGTTACAGAACTAGGTTTGATTTCGTTCAGTGTCTCTGCGTATGTGGGCAGGCTTATGGGGCTAAAAGGTTTATGTCGGTGTTTCATTATGTACAATGTTCAGCATTCATTCGATGGACAAAATTTGACAAAGACACGTTTAGGCTAATACATACACTCGCCGACTGCTTTTCGGTAAGGGTACCGCCAGCTAACAGATTAGCGAAATATCCCCTGAAAAAAGAAAGATTTGATTCGATACAGACGATTGTCACTCGAAAAGGTCAAATCGAAATCTGTTGGAAGAAATCTATTGGAAGAAGAAATAACTTTTAGTTAAAAGGTTAAAGCGGTTGACAGGAACAGCCGAAACTTCACTTGATCTATGTAATATAACGAATTGTTCAGCTCTTTGTTTACTTGCTTCGGAACAGAAATAAAATAACAGTTAACAAACTTGCTGGAGTATTCTCAAAGTTGGTGAAACATTCAGGTGGATTCAGTCAGAGATTCAGAAAACGCTTTAATTTATCAAGAATTTTAAGAAACATCTTTTTAAATTACGACTTTTAAACCATCAAATATTTTGCAAAACCTTTATCCTAAAAATCGGGAGATTTGACAGCCATGAAGCAAAATCCGTATCACTTTTTGGAGTATATATAAAAAAACTTCTGACAAATAAACACGTATTTTGCAGTCTGAGTTGCGGACAAAACTTTTTCAGTATTAGGTTGCCATGTTTCAACTTTTTTCGTCCTATTTTTATTCAGCCCTTACCAGGATTCTCAAAGCTTATTACCGATTCATACGGTAATGTTTTCGAGCTAACATCTCTGAACAGATGTTAATTCTCAACTTATTTGTGCCGTAATGTCAACTGCTTTATCGTCTCATTCAAAACAATAAAACTTGCATTTTGAGTAATTGACCTTTTTGGGAGCAAATTGTAGCGCATTGAAAATTATTCGTTGAGCTGGTGAAATGAAACGAACAGATGATCTGAAAAGTACGTGATGACCTTTGCCAAGTAATTGATGCTCTCTCCATCCAATTGTGCCCTTTCATTTAAGCTCAAAAAGGTCTCTTTCGGGTCCCATCTATATCAGATAAAATAACATCTCCTTTCAAAGTAGCTCGGAAAGCGAAAGCATAACCTGAAGTTCTTCTCATCCGATAGTCCTCAGAGCATAAACATTATAAACACTTAGTTAAAAACTTGCGTCCAAACAAACCTGTCTACTGTCGTTGCTACGATGAATGAGGAAACTGGAAAATTGATTTTGAAATCAATTTTTTCACTTGTAGAGCCATCTTCACCCTGGTGAAAATGTATTAAAATGAAATTAGCAGTTTTTCTGAGATTACGCTGGATACAACCACACAAAGTATAAAAAAGAAATCGAATTCAAATAAACAATTAGAATACATAACCAAATCATAAAATCCTGTTCATTGATACGTATTTACAGATTTGAGAAAATTTGATTGTGAAGTCAACGGCTGGTGGAGCATTTGATAGAGTACTTAATAAAATCCCACCGAGCAAAGAATTCAATACAATGCCCACCTTGATAGCACAACAATTGGGTAGGTCTCTGATACTCTGCCTTTAAAATGCCTCAACTGCCTGCTACTTATAAAATTTCATAAAAACGTGGCACAATACAAGATTGACACTAAGGTTGAATTGAAACCCAGGGAGGGACACATTTGAAAAAAAATTGAAATGGAGATGTGCCATAAGACCAACTGTTTTTATTTCAAGGAACTTGAAATCAAAGAAAAACAAACGTCAAGACTTTTTGCTAATTCGTCGATTATTTCTAATGTTTGCAAACCCCTAAGGAATTTTGGGAGATCAGCGGAAACTCAAGCAGGAAATAGTGAATCAAGAATTGACCATTTACTAAAGCGGCACACCTGTGTAGCTGAAAAATTTCTTTTCTAATAATACGTTCATGCGAACGAATAATACGTTCATCTTTGAAATAATGAAAAGATACAATACCTTTGCAATGTATGTTATAGTGCCACGTAGCCACTGAGGCATCGCAATGCTTTCAACTGAAAATGCAAACTGGCCCTCATTTGTGGTACCTGAAAAAATTTATAAATGATATTATATAATATTATATGATATTACCCTGATACGGCGCATTAAAAAACCTGTACCGCGAAATATTAAAACCTAAATAAATCGATATTAGCTTATATTAGCAATCAAGTCTCAATCAACTTTTCGCTTCCAGTGCTGCATATGGTGGCAATGAACAATAAACACACCTGATGGCAGTTGGAATGGTACCTTGACCGGATCATGTGAAGAAGCGCCAATCTACAATTAAAACAACAAATTATCAGGGCAGCACAAAACTGGAAAGCAAGGTTCTGAATGAAGATTTCTCAAACAATCGAATCTACTCGTTGATTTTCCGTCGGATAGTTTCTACTACAAAATGTAAACGTTTATAATATATTAAGTTAAATATAACTAGATGAATACAAGCACAAAATAAGTGCTGTTCTCTCAGGGAGTCGTGTTTCCATTCGCTTCAATCCAACAATTTCATTGGATCCTGACACGAATAGAGATTTTATGCTTAACCCTTAAAGTGTTGAGAAGCAAATTCCTGTTTTGTAATAATCCACCATACCGGGAGAAAAAAGTTTTCGAAAAAATATCGCACTTTCTGAAAAAGATAAACCCCCTACCCCACCTCCCCACTTCAGTGCTGATGCTCTTAGATGCGGTGGCTACAACTCCAACATGAGTCTTGGAACAATGTTTTCCTGCATTTTTGAATTTGATTCAACAATATTGTCAGGATTGTAGACAGCTCCTCGGGATCTGAAGACCTTTACTGAACCGCGTGGCATAACAAGAGTACTGTATATGGACCTTTGTGGAATTCATTCCAGGAATTTTCAGGACAGAATAGAGTTTCGTGGACATCGAAGAGTAGTTTGTCTCTATAGCACGAAAATGAGAAAATGGGAAGAAGAAAAACTCACGTTCCGATGCATTTTCATGTTTAATGAGTCAATCACGTTGAATTCCAAAGATATGAGTTGTGATTCGCTCAGGTTGCTAAAACACAAACACAAAATTATTAGAAAGACAAAATATGGATTAAGTCATTTTTATATCAAAACAAAGGACTGACATGTAGTCAGATTTGCTTACAGGGAAGACCATGTTTGACATATTCCAAAATGCGTCGTTAAAAAGCAATTGCTACTTGTTTCAAAAGAAGAAAATAAATTGATAAGCTGATAAAACGAGTGGCTAAATAACTGTTTCTTGCTTTGGAATACTCCTTATTTTTCTATTCGCTATTTGTTAAACAAAAATACAATTTTGTAGAATACGAAAAAATGACTTTTACTTTGAAAATTATTTGAATCTGAGAACTAAGTTTCCGGAAAACTTCTTTAAGTATTTATAACGATAATTCGTTTGTAATATATTTTACAATGGAAATAACATTTTTGATTTTTCTTAAAGCTTCTACAGCGAGGCGAGAAATGGTTTCGGAGGCAGAATTTTCAGTGACTTGTTGCCAAGATCCTTATTAGTACTTTCTGTTCAATTTTTTTTCATTTAAGAGGCTTCTAGAAAGAAAATCTTAAAATCTTGCACAACTTTTATTCGAGAGAGCCAAAAATTCAGAGGACTTCCAAAACCTTTAAATGTTTAACTACAACCAGCTTTCATTAAGGTCAGCAAACATGATAAGAAACGAAAGTAATAAACTATAAAATTACCTGAATATCACTGATACAATAGCTTTGTTTTTCTCCCTCGGGTCAACTTTAATGTCATATACCTAGAAAATCAGCCGTTTGATGATTCCAAAACGAAGTAAACATCTTCGTTCTGAAGGCAAAACAACCTTCTACGTGAATAAAACAATACAAAACTTAGATTCTAATTCTTAAAACTATATTTTCTTGTTTAATCGCCTTGGTTTGAATAAAACTGATTGCTGTTATTAAAAGAACCATTTCAAAATCTGACTTAAAAGCACGAAAAACTGGCATTCATTCTAGAAGGCACATCTTCACATTGTTGGCGGAAATGTGCCCCACAGCAGAGATCTTCGGTGATCGCACAGCGAAAAACCTGAAGACCCTGAAGAGACAAATGATCTTTCAAACGATTTCTAAACAAACAAAATTGACGAGAAAACGATGAATGAAATGAGATGAGGAATATAAACATTGCGTACCATTCGAAGGTTTGAATCCTCACCCAAGAGTGAATAGTGAGCGTGGGGCTGGAAGAAGAAATTCAAAAAACTAGTTTAAGTGAGATTGGATTAAAAATGTTGCTGCTTTTGAAAAACAGCAAGAGCATGGTATCAGCGGTTACTAAAAGGCTGTTTCTTGGAATACGAATCCACCTTCAGCCATTTTGCTATCATTTCAAATCGGCATTCATCGATTTAAACTTCATTTCAAATACACATCTATATCAACCCACAAAGATTTACTAAAATCCTATTACAATCTCCTAGCAACACTCACGATATATCAACAAACTTTTTAGCCAATCACAACTCACATTGACGCTCGTGGTATCTGTTCCCATTAACAATGATTCCTCGAGTTCTTCTTTTTTAACCTCTTCTTCTTCTGCATTCTTTTTGCCTTTCTTTTTCTCTCTTCTTTCTTTCTTCTCTTTCTTCTTTTCTTTTGTTTTCTGTACAAACAAGTTCTTCTTCATAAGAAACATGTTTACTTAAATATTTACAGTCTAGCTTTAACAGTCTGGTGTAAAAGAACAAAGGAAATCAAGAAGAACAATCCAATACGATTAGAAATGATTTCGCAGAAGAAAAATGAAATAAAATAACGTAATATTTATCCCAGGCGATGCTTTATGGTAACTGTAATAGACCAAGCAGCTGAAGGAAGTGTACAAAATGCGTTTTGGCGGAATATCACTGGTGGATAGAACTACAACAAGCTTTTCATATAAATTGTTCCTTTTTAAAACCTCATTTGCTTAAAATACACAATTGCATACAAAAATGAGCATAGATGCTTGGAAACAATGTGGAGGTTATATTCAAATTTCACACGAGAAACAAGTAGATAATGATTATGTAATTATAAAGAACAACTTTTGGCTGGCATCGGCCAGAAACGAAGTAGCTTTCCATAAAAATATTTGATACCTTAGGCTTTGATAGTGTTTCAGGCCCATCAGTCGTCTCTAAGGTCGCTTCTGGAACTGGTTGTTCATCGATCTTCTTGGGCGTCGTCTTAGGGGCTTCGGGTTCCTGTAAATAACATCTCAAATAAATATAGCAAAACAATCTAATCAAAAGGTAAAGTGAAGAGAGATCAAAATATGAGCTTGAATCTGGATACTTGGTAAAGACCGGCCTAAAAAAAGTTAAGGAAAGATTTAAATGTTTACTAACATTGGGAGCCGTAGGAGCAGCATCGGTTGGGGAGAGCCAGAAATCCATTTCGTCAAGCTGAAAGTAAACAAGTTATTGCTTGTAAAACTACTAGTAGAAATGGAAACAAAAGAAAAATGACATGCATTCATTCTTACTTTACCATTATAAAAATATCACGCTAGGTTTAGCTCATTCCCAAGAAAATGGATGAAGAAAGGTTTATAAGTAGAAAGAAGAAGTTTACGTGTTGTTCGCTGGTTGGTACAGAAAGTTTTAATAATCACGTGCTAAATATTATACGTTTAACATTAATGAAAGGTATGTCTGAATAAGAGCGGAAAAATACAACTGAAATATTTATTAGTTTTTACTAGCTATTATAATAAGAAGTTTGATCGTTCATATATTTGCTAAGCGATATCAGCATGGCCGATTATGGGGCATTATTCGAGGATCAAATGAACAAACTAAACAAATCCAGTCTCTGGTTTTCACTCTTACGTTCTTCTGGTCGTTGTCTCTGACTCCATTGTTCGTATTTGAAATCTGAAGTTTAAGGGACAACATTTTCAGACTGCGGGCAGGGATTCTGATTTATCATAAGTAACGGCCAATCGTGAAGCCAGATTCGATGGGCACATTAATAACAAATTTAATTAAAGTTGTCACGTGCATGGATAAACTCTACACAATAGGCATCTAAAGAGGAACATGTAATTATTGTGACAATCTTAATGACAGCTTCATATCTAGCTACTCTGCATCAAAGCACACCAGTGTGGGATGACAACCTTCTAAAACACCGAGTTTCTAACTAACAATATGATAGGGCAAACAAACAGTTTTATCACTCACATCTTTGTCGCTGCCACGGCTCTTAAGTTCCTCGGCTTGAGCTAACAATGTTGCTTTAGAAGGTGTTGGTGAGGTTGGGGCATCTTTAAAGAAAAAGAATAAAGAAATAGCACACTAATTTAGCCTAGATCTTTAATAAATAGTTTCAAATATTTCTCCAGAAATTCATCCCGGAGCTAATACTATAAACAGGAACAGTACTTCTTTTACAATAACTTTTAATAAACTGATTGTCATTGACACTAATAAATAAAAGAGCTGAAAGATGCATATATTCATAAAATACAGACAATGCGATTCTTGTCACTGTTTTCAAAGTTTCCAAACAGTATTTCTTACCATGTTTTCTTGAGTCTTTCTCTTGAGATTTCGTACGCCGCTTCTTTATACTCGATGACTTCCCTTTCGACTGCTTACTTGGTGACGATTTTCCTTCGTCATCTTTATTCCTACTCTGTTAATGGATTGGGGAAAGCGAATCAAGTTACACAGCGAAAATATGCAAATCTAAAAATTGTTATGTGACAATTTAATACATGGGAACTTTTTGGAAAATACGAAACTTTGAGTTCATGACCAAATTCCGATGAAAAGATCAAGATACAAACATGAGTTACATGCTTTTCATCAGATACAATGATACAGATTTAGGTAGCGATATATTCCCCTAGAGTTGCACGATAAATGAGTCCGTGATTGGCTAAGTGACGTACATCAATATCACTAGACAGCCTGCTTTTGAATTTGCCTTCAAGATCGTAGAAGAATAACGAATCCTGCCTGGACTCAAGACATTTTTCGGTGACCAACAATTATGCCGCTTCTGGTTAGCTGTCACTGACAAAGAATTGTTGATCAATGGAAACAATAGACAGCCAACTTAACTTAAATTAAACACAAAACAAAATTGAAACTGCACTATATTAGCCCCTGACACGGGGCATGGGTTCTTGACACCAATATTTCATGTTCATACGTTGGCAACATTGTTAGTTTGTCGGTCAACATTATATTGACCAACATTATACTGTTAGATTGGTTAAAAGCGACAGTGCTTTATCTTTATATAGCTGATATATCTTTATGGGTAGAATTACACCAGGAAAGTGAAGGTAAGACATTGTCTCTGTCTGCAAAACGAATCTATAAACACAAATCTTATGTTTTTGATGGAAGAGCACAAATCACGGAGCACAAGATATGGCACCTTTTTGCTTTGTTTCTCTTTTCCAGATCCTTTCTTAGTTTTCTTTGACTTCTTTTTCACCTGGAATATTGAAAGTTGCATGCAAAAATATCGATGAATATGTAAACTTGACAGTAAGCTTTAACCAAAGAAAATCAAGTGAAAGTAATGATAGAACTGCGATAACAGAATAGCTCTTTGCCTTAAAAACAGAGGAATATGATGTGACCCAATCTATCGCTTTATTTACTTTTTTGAAAAAACACAGGTACTTGTGCTAAATTGCCGGCCTAGCAGGCCTTGTCTTGAAACTTTCTATGTAATAAGAAAGAATCTACTGGCAATAAAAACGAAATAGTTGGCACTACATCTCAACCTAATAAGCAAAAAAAGTATGTCATACAGGTGCCTCGGGTTCCGCCGCAACCGCCGTTTTCTCATCCTCCTTTTTATCATCCACGACCCTGTGTGTTCGGACCGGTAAAACTTCATGCGACTCCAATGGCCTGAAATTAGTAGCAAAAATGCAGCTTTTGATAGGCAACAATACAGCGTGAGGCAAAGTCGAATCTCGGAAGTAGGCTATTACGAGCATAAACATTCACGAGATGTAACCCTAAACGGAAGCATTAAGTAAGTACAAGAAAATCACACATGCTTGCTGGAAAGGAGAGCGCTATTTGTCAAAACCACTAGCACTTTTGTAAATAATACAGGCATTTCTGCGACGTTAAAACCAATTTGTGCAGCGAGTAAATCTTAGAGAAAAAGAAAATTCGGGTTTGCTACAAAGATCATTCTGTGATGGAAAACCAAAACACAGGCGGATGTGTATAAATTCTTTTTGTAGGGAGAGAAATGCATTGTAATCAACGAAGAGTGGTTACATGGGAATATTGTAGATGGAAATTCTGACTAAGGAAAAAAGCGAGATATTGTTAGTGAGGCTGGAACTATAAGCAACGTTACACATACGCTTCAAGGTCAATATCCAATTGTTTGTGCGGGTCAGTGTCTGGGAGGTTGTGCTCTTCTTCGTCATCCTGAAAGAAAAATCCGTTGGGCTTTAAACATTGCAAGAAAGATCCGTTGCAAGGAATACATCTTACAAGAGCGTATATTGCATTTGTTACTAAACAATTAATTAAATGACTATTTTCTGAAATAATGAGAACTTATAAAAGCTTTTGGCAACAGAAAATGCCTCGAGATGTCATGAGAAAGTTGACAATTCTATCAAGAAACGGATCATTAGTAAGCTACCTTGATTTCTTTATTAAGTGTTATCTTCAAGTGTGTTAATGTCAATGATGGCCCTTGAAAGGCGCTACTTCTTCACATGAAAGGTAAAGAATTTGCAACTCACATCAGCTCCTTCAACGGCCATTACTTCGTATGATGGAAGATTTTGTTCGTCTTCGCTTGATTCAGCATGTGCTTTTCCTTTGAAATGACATAAAGTTCAGTGGAAGAATATCTTTACCTTTTGATGCTGAACACTGATTTCGATAAGCATTATTTGATTTTGTCAAATTCTAACAATGACGATAGGAATGGAATATTCAAGTAATAGAAAGAAATAACCGTGGAAACAGGCCATCATTTTCAAAATAATAAGAACGGGGAGGTGTAATGTGAAGAGTTGAAGATGCAGCAAATAAAAAGGAAGAAGGATAGTATTTGTCGTTAAATCTAACTTGAAACGAAATTCTGCAAAAATGAATGTTATATTCTTCCTAGAAATACGGCATTATCCTGCTGCTGACTTTGCCTAAGGGTTCGATATGCGGCATCATGATTCAGCACAAATCAAGAATATCTTTTCAACTATGCTAAATGCAGTTGGTTGGCTCTTTCAATGCATAGTTACATAATGTTGAAAGATAAAAATATATAGAATTTATCATGCCTTTCTTCCTCTTCTTCTTTTTATCTTTCTTTGATTTTCCTTTCTCTGAAAGATAAAGTTACAAATTTCATTTAATCAATCTCATGTGATGGAACAACAAAGAATAATTAGCAAAACGCAGAGCATGTCTTCAAACAATTTTCAGGATTTGAAAGCCTTTTTCTCGGTAATACTTCAATAAAAAAATTGGAGAAGCCTAGAAATGAAACAAATCGTTCGGCATACATATTTATATACATAAAGTAGTGGAGGGGTTAAAAAAGCCTAAGTATAAAGAGTACTCCTATTTAGAAAGTCTACTAAAAGATCAGAACAGAAAATATTGAAGAGATTTAAAACGATTTAATTAAGATATTGAATATATTCCTACAGGTTTAAGCTTATATTTAAAATACAGAATAATCAATTCAAAAACTGAAAGAAACCCACTCTCAATATGTAATGGAACTGGCAGGTCGAGTGAGGCGACTGGGATATCATCCACGGAGTATTCATCTTTCTGAAATCGAATTATCACCATTTTAAAAATGAGCTTTCGAAACAAACATACTTAGTAAATGTGGTCTCAGGGAAATTTATTCAAGAATTCACTTATCTAGAGTAAAATTATGGCTTGAACTGAAAAAGTGAAAACAAATTATTTTCATTTATTTATTTTGCATCTTTAAACGAGATAGACCTTGCATCTTTTTATAAAACCAATAAGTTGTGGAATTCATAATTAATTTAAGTACCTTTGGAGAATCCATTTTCAGGTAATGAGGGTTGCTCGCTTGCATCTGTTTTCGCATATCACGAGCCTGCAACACAACAAAAATTAAAGAATTAGTACTATATCACATAAAAGATAAGAAAACAAGGAATAGGAGATTTAAGTTGTTACAGCCTGTAGTCAACAAACAATCCAAGCATGAAGCAACTGCAATTGGTACAAACCTTTTCCAGTTCTACAGTTGACAAAACTTGGTATTTCGCTGTATCTTCTTCGTATACACCACTGAAAAAGAGATTTGAACTGAACCATTTCACTGTCAAATATTTTACTTTCTCTTATAGGTCATTCAAAGACAGGCAATGAGGTGTCTTTATTACTTAAACGTAATCCAAAGCTTAAATAAAAAACAACAGTAAGTCATTGTCAATTAAAAATCATTTCATTTCATAGCAATAAACAGGGCAGGCAAATGAATAAAATAAATTACTTTGTTTTCTGATCAGCAAAAAAAGCCGGCTGGTCCTCATTTTCATCTTCTGAAGTATCAGATTGCGGCTCGTTGATCCATTTGTCTAAGTCGAGACTTGAATGCAAAAAAAGATTTGCAATGTTTTACATTTTCAAAGTGATCTTCAAAGGGGGTGTGAGAGCTTTAGCAAATGAACTTTGAATTGTTCAGAGTAATTGTTCAGAGAACTTTGAATAATATTCAATGTCTAGTGCTTGTCTTGGTCGGAATAAAGCGAGTGCTACAATATTCATCCTTTTCTGTGGAATTCTTGATATTCACTCGGCTAGTGCTAAATTTTTATTCTAAAAGTACAATGATACTAAATCATGCGCAACTTACAAACATCAACCATTAACGATCAATACGACCTGTTTGAGATAGACAATTACTGCAGGAAGCCGAGAAAATGGCGTCATCAGCAAGATGTAAAAAATGTCGATAGATACCCGTCAGGTACTGGAACCTTCTTCTGCGCCTTCGCAGACACCGGTAAAAGCTCTTCTGCAAACAGCTGAGACAGCAACGTAGCACACTCAGTGTCTAAGAAATACACAAATATAAAGATCAGGCGAGAATAACAGTTTAAATGGGTGACAGTAATATTTGGCTTATTTGGTAAACGAGATTTATATATACAGTTTCAATGTACACTTAAAGTAACTGAAAATCGCTGGACAGGAATGAAGTAAAGAAGATGGCTTAACCATTAACGAGAAATGCCTATACCATGAATCATTTAAGAAGGATGAACAAGAACAGTCTCAAATATAGTCAATGCTCACCCGCTTCCTTTAACTTCAGTACGTGGTTGACAATTTGCAAAATACAGCATGCCTGAAAAGCAGATAGAAGAAAATAATCCAAGTACGAAAATGAATGTAGGGTTGGTTTCGAAACTTATGCGGAAGCAAGAAAAGGATTTAGGAATGATAGGCTGAATACTCACTCTTTCTTGGGCTTCCAGGTTGGAACTTTGAGCAAACATGGGTAGTTTGTCTCGAATCATTTGTCCAACTTCGATAACAGTGTCCTTGTCACCCTTGAAATTTTGAGTGTTTCAAACGGTTAAAAGATGGCAGATTTTTGTGCGTCTGTCAAAGCTTTTTTATGAAGAACAGTAGTTAAACGCACGGGTAGATTGACAATAATTAAACTACCGGTATCATAATAAAACAAACTTGTCATTACGACATGATATCAAATAAAAAGCAGTCCTACTGTAGCAAATTGCAAATTGCATTGTAGCATATTCAATGCAAAACACTGTAGGTTTTAACGACGACTGAAAATAGCATACCTCCTTTTCAGCTTTGGATATGATTCTTGAATATAGCTTCAAAATGTTTTGAAGGTAAACTCCTTGTATGTGACCAGGCAGTGATGTGGCTTTTTGGTGCAAAAGCGATTCTAGTCTGCCTCTCAAATCATCAATATAGCTACAATACGAGAAAGATGTGACAAAACGTTGCAAAACTAACTATGATAATATCTATTCCTTACACAATAAAGACTACAAAAGCTTCTTAATTCTGGTCCGAGCAGCTTTGTATAGTAAATTAATTTCAATTCCCATAGTTTTCTTTCGGTTGTATTTCAAAGGTTAGAGAGTGTTGTCATTAGCTAAGTTGAGTAAGAAGAAAAAGTAATGTCATTAGCTAAGTTGGATTAGCACAGGTTCTGAATATGGATACAAGTTATCAACCACGGGATGAAATAGCGACATGACAATGAAAACAGAAATATGTTGAAATGACAAAAAAGTCAAAATAACTCATAATAATTGTTTACATACTCCGAGAATTCACCAGAAATCCAGGCAGCCGCATAAAGGACTTCGCAAAAGCCTTCCTTGTGAGCTCCACTGGTCAATAGGTTGATTTTCTCTAGCAATTGCGACTGCAGAAAAAAAACCAAAATTCAGCGCTTGAGTTGGAAAATTGATATTACATATTTTAGAACAAATATAGGGTGGCCCCACACAAGATTTGAGAGCTAGAAGTTTGCTGAACAAATAGCAAATTCAAGGCAGGGTGGAAAAATAATATCTTTTTAACTAGTCCTGCAAAGCCCGGTTCGCCATAAGGTGCATTGATACAATGAAGAGTAATAGATCGTTTTCTACGTGCACTTTTCACTGAATTACAGTGCTCGACATATTTCCAATTCACGAGGACCAGACACAAGCAATATATGTTCACTAATTCAAATTTAATAAACTGTAAATAAGGGATGGAAGTACAATACAATTTTGTAGCCTTCCTATTATTTATGACGACAACCATCAGATTAAAGAATAGCTGACTGTGACTCACAGGCAGCCATAAAAGATACAAATGTATTTTCAATTGAAAGTAAAAGATCCTCACCAGCATCTTAACAGCGTAATTTCTAACAGCTTTGACTCGAATAGAGACATCAAGCATTTGCGATGCAATTAGCTTTCCGTGTTTCGTGTTTTCAATAGAACTTAACTGGACAAGACAGTCGATGTACCTGCAATATTAGTTTGAGGAATTTAAAAGTCATTCAACACATATCATTTCAATTAATGTCAACATCAAAGGTTAATCAAATGAAGAGGCAAAGTACAGGACAATATTCAATGGCACATGAAAATACTTTGCTGCCCAAACTTCACTCATCTTAGACATTCGAACAAAGGGCCTTTTATCGATCATTTTAAGTAGATACATGAAAAAGACTAGCCATGATTCGAAATTCAAATCAAAGATGACTCGCGTACATAATTTCTTTAAGATATGTTTAAGAGGCCAGCAAAAAGTCAAGATTTGAAAAACAGCTTTAGGAATTCAAAGAGACAAAGAAGAGAAAATTAATGAAACGGAGCTTGGTTTACCATTCAAAATTGGTAACATATTGATAATTTGATTGGCTGCATATCTGAATAATTTTCGCAAGAAGTTCATCACGATAGCCTGGTGGTAAAACAGATACGGTTAATATCTTATACTGATTTTGATTATAAACAAATAATCAGGTAATGAGAATTCCTGTCATAAATGTGTTCGAAGCCATACAGGCAGGGCTGTACATGCATTGATGTATAGAACAGGAAGATTCTACGTTGCTTGTAGAACAGAAAGGTTCTAAGTTTCATGCTTAAGGCGATCATCAGGCAAATGTTTATTTTGGCTGAGGAATCTACAGGCAATAAACAAAATAAGAACGGCGTATTGCTGTTTTAACAACTGCTGTTATACAACATACTCACCTGAACCCTCAGCTCTTTGAAGATGAGCCATCAGTTTCTTGACGATATCAATGAGTGTTTTCTTTGAAATCTTCAAAAAAAAGAATTTGCATTAAAAAAGATAATGTCCATGATAATTTCCAAGCCTGTAAATATTAGGAACCAAAACTAATTTTTTTGTTAAGGTCTATTAAATATTTCGCAAATAGTGGCAATGAAGCTATAGAGCCCTTTTCGTTTAAGACTTTTCTATTTATCCTTCGATATTTAAAAGATAACTATAGAAAAGCAAAACATGAATGCTTCGACAATTAGTAACATTTCGACAATTCGCAACATTTCATCAACGTTTATAACCAAATGAAACGCACCATTCCAACAATAAGATCTAGAGCTCTGTATCGAATTGATTCATCTCTGTCATCCAGACATTGAAGAATGAGGTCTCTAGCAATGAAAGAAGGGAAGAATTATTTAATGTCAACAAAAAAAAGCTTACTTGACCAATGAAAAATAATTATTTAGAGAGAGTACTGAAATAATGCAAAGAGCGACAAATAATAATCAACAGAAAAATAGAGAGATGTTTTAAGAGAAAACAGATGAAACAAAATTAGCTAATCAAAAAGGGATTTTAAAGCGGAGAATGCATGTCAAATGCATATCGAGCATGCTATCGAAAACGTTCAGTAGGTTTTTGCGACAGATGCAAGCTGACTTAAGCATCAGCGCAAAGCTTTTCAGAGGATAATCAATTTGTGAACAAAGGAAATCGTGGTAAAAAGCCAAACTTACTTGTGAGGCTGGACAGCTTTTGGGACAGTTGCTAATATCTTGTTTAATGATAAAAGACCAAGGTACTTCACTGCAAATAACAGACAAATAGTCGAAATTTGGGTTTAAAGGCAATAATATAATGGCTGCAAAGCTAACACAACTCCTTCTGAAGGCGAGATATGGCAATTGGAAAAATAAGGTATTGCAAAAATACTTTGTTAAAGATTTGTGTTAACTTTCTGGCATTGTTTCTTTACTGTAATTTACAAATACTGAATAGAAATGATACAGTAGAAAAGAAATCAAGAAAAAAGTTTTCTTAGCTGCATTTGAATCGATAGTTTAGACAACTTACAATTTTGATCTGGATCTTCGATGAGAAGCCTCAGTTTACTGACACAAAGCTGAAAAATGGAATGTTACAATGATTGATAAAAGGGGAAAGAGATCAGATGCTTAAATTAATTGAGGACTAAGAAAGACGAACGATAAAAGAAAATATATCCCCAACAGCATAAATATGGAAAAAAATTATGGACAGCAAGAAAATCTGTAGATTTAGCAAAAAAGGAAAATGGGACATTAACAAACCTGTATTGATGGCATGTGGTCCGAAAGACCTGTGTGTGTAACAAAACAATCAAGATTAAATCATATTAACATAATCGATTATCAATTGTTTGAAAACAGAAAGAAAGACCCTTCTGAAATAAACTTTAAAGTAAATTGATAAAAGAAAGAGAAACAAGGATGGAGCGACAAATAAGGACCAACTCACCTGAAATAACTGTTTTGATGCACTCGTACAGCAGCGACATGGCTGAAGTGCTGCGTGAGAAAAAAATTAAATTGATAATTAAGAACTAAATAAAAAACAAATTCATGATAAAAAAGGTATATATGATATGATTTATGAAATCTATTATATTTTAGATACATGATTTAATAGTTGGATAAAAAATATTGTGTTCACCTGTGTATGAGGTTCGTAAGAGGTTCCATCAGTTTCTTTCCAAGTCGTGGTTCCAGAGGGCACAGGGCACCAAACTAAAGCACAGATTCGCATAAGACATTGTTACACAAGGAAGAATGAATTGATTTTACCGATAAAAATGTACAAACGCATATAGATATAGTCTACATTTGATCCAACAAAGCTGTAAAATATTATGTCATATAAATGACTTTCCTGGCACCTATACTAATCTTATATAAGCTGTATTTTTGGTGTGTGCAGTCGAGATTTAATCTAACAATATCAATCAAATCCAACATGATTCACTCTAATACAAATACATTACCAAGGCAAAGCGGTCACAAAAAAGGCCAAGCGGTCACAAAAAAGGCAAAGCGGTCACAAAAAAGGCAAAGCGGTCACAAAAAAGGCAAAGCGGTCACATTTTGATTGGCTGAGAGATCCCATCCATTCTATACTCTCCCAACGTTATACGCCAAGCAGCTCACAGAACTCTAAAAAAGACTCGTTTCACGGCTACATTTAGGCTCGTTTTAACTGTTCAGCGTGTTTTTACCATAAAATAAAATAAAAACATGTCATAGAAAGTGAACTTCTGCCTGATGTTCTGCCAGGTTCATCCGCACACATTTCTATCAAACCTGCATTTGCATCACTGTGCCATTGTAACGGGAAAAAGAGAATGCTGCCCTAACACAGTTACTACATTCTTTTGATATATAGCTTATCTATCATTATTTGTGGGCTATCAGACAGAGCTTACCAGTTTGATAATTTTGATCAGCATCCAGTTGTTGGACGACGTTGTCATCAGTTTGAAAAAGAGTGGAGCAAGCGACAAGTAGTTGCGGGGATTCTTTCGAGCAAGTTCACAAATGACATTTACAGCTGAGCTTTGGACACCTGAAAGTAGGTAAGAAACTTCAGTAGAAGATCTTTAGCAATTTTTACATGATAAAAAAATCGATGTGTAAAATTCGATTCATATTTTGTTTATATCAACAATTTGTTTTCTTTTTTCTTTAATAATCCTTTCTATGTTTGCTGCTAAAAAATTTCAATAGCTGGTTGGTTGGCAATATACTCAAAACATTTTAATTTTGATTTTGCGTGTACAGCAAAGTAGTGGCTGAGGACAGGCTGGCTAGTAAAGGGACTAGAAATAACAGCCAGCCAGAAAACGCTTAATTTCTATTATGACAGAACAAAAATTGTTAAAAAAGGTTAAAAATAATTCATATTAACTAAAGGATTGTTAAAAATACGCATGCTCACCAGGATCTTGATCTTCTAATTTTTCTTTCAAACGGGGAAATGCTGGTCGTAGAGCCTCTGGGAACTGAAATAGGAAAGGAAGGATAACATTTATATTTAATAATCCTATTTTCAAACGACAGTCAAAACAGACTATAAACAGGACATTTTCTTTGCTGCTCACGCAAAAAAAGTTTCATATAAAGAAGTCAACGAGTTTCATCGAAATTGTGATGTTGTTTTTTTCGTAAACTTAGAAATTTACAGTACTGAATCTGATGAAATTCTTGCTGATCAATTGTAATAAGCTGATAAGTAAAAACAAAAGAAGATAACAGACTACATACTGTAAATAGCTTGTGTTAATTGTTGTTTGTTCTCGACGCGTTGCATTTTTTCTTATTTTCCACATTGTTAACAGGCTTTAGTATTATTTGTCAAGGAAAAATAAATTGGCCCAGTAGGACGGTTTGGGGTGTAGAACGCCCGGGTCTAAGTAGCAACTGCAAGTTTACGCGGCAGTCGATCATCAGGCAACTGAATAGCTCTGCCTTTACGGCATCGAGAACTTTATAACAGACCCATAAAACAGTAAATTTTATTAATGCAATTGCATTCAATTTTTGTTTTTCCACTCCATTTCCAAGACCAGTTGCATTTTGTTTCCATATATAAAACTGAAAAACAGAATTTAAAAAAAATTGAACTTTACAGCTCAGGTAACAAAACGTACATTTAAGAAAACTTTGTACATCAGCAAAACAGACTTCTTTCGCATGTACGGTCTAGATGATACCATCTGCAACAAAGAGAGGGAAATTAATCACTGGAAGCTCGCTTTGTACGAGTTTAGTACGAAACAGAGATTAGCACTCCTTTAAATGAAATGACATCAACATTTACGCCGCGTAGAAAAGACGTAATCAAGTAAAATCGGTATATCTAAATTTGATTGATATGGAAGATAGAAGGCTTGGATCAAAAGAAATATTGCACTTTCAAATTGTAAATAGAAAAATAATAAATGCTCTAAAATGAAAAGTGAAAACATCTCATGCTCAAGTATATTTGTCTGAAACTCATCAGAGACCAAAGGTAACCAGAAAGTTTTACCCAGTTGGGCGTTGAAAGTAATGCAAGACGTTTCTTTATAAACATTAGTTCACAAAATTGTACAGGCTTTTCTTGAAAACAGCAGCAACTACAAAGCGCTCTTACCAGATTCATAACATCATTTGCCAAGTCTCTGGCTAAATCCGCAGTGATAAATACAGACAGCCCTGTCATGGCAACACCAGCATCGTATTGGTTTTGTGAGGCCATATCCTAATATGGCAATAAAACACAAATAAATGACTGTAAGTCTTAAAAAAAGGTTTCCAATGTAATGGAATAAGAAGAAAGATCTTAAAAGACGTGTAAAGGGTTTTGAAATCAGATCCTTATACAAAACAGAATAAAATTGGAAAGAACCCATTGCGTATAAATTATATTTACTTCAATAAAAACGTACATCACATATAGAATAAAACAACAATTTAAAAATGTAAAACAAATAAAATTGAAAACGTAATTTCATGATGATGAGAATACTAAAAGCAAAATGATCGCTGCACCTTTTTGACCAAGTTTGTTGTTAGCATGATCACATCTAGTTCGTCATGGAAACACTGCGCGGCAGCAAGGTAACCAATACGCTGTAATCAGTTAAGATATATTTTAAATAAACTTTAAATCTTCTAAGCCGATGTTGACTATAAATTTGGTCATAATAATAATAATAGAAAACGTTAGACAGCTTCTAAGCAGCTAAACTATAAGGTCATAGAAATTCGTATAAATCAATTACAAATTAATATAAACTTGGTACATGATGAAATGCTGCTCTTGGAATCAGTAAGTGCTGTTCAGAAGACCAAATGCAAAATTGATTGACAAGCGATTGTTTATTCAGTAGAAAAGTCTATGAGATGACCGAGAGGATAACACAAGCAAACGAAGTCTTTCTAAAGTACCTTGTGAGTAAACTTGGTAGAGCTCATGACTTCAATCATGTTGAAAGCTGCCCACGAGATATCATAGCCATGCATTTCCAGCTGAAATAGAAAGAAAATATCTAAGTCAATTGCACACATACACACATTGCAGTGATATCTCTATGAACCGGGTAAAACAGAGTTCAATACACAATTGACTCCAAGGTCCTGGGTAAAGGATGGATGGGTAAAGGATGGTTTTAGTGCTCTGCAAAGCAGCTTATGTTTCGCCAATACATTGATTGAGGTCATACTGCATGACAGCTTGATGGGAAAACTGCATCAGAAATCAACGTAATTCAAATGGATGAGATGCAAGGAAATGAAAAAAGGGGCTTCATATGCTGTGCAAGGGGTTATACGAAGAATCATAACAGCCCGTATGAGCGCAAAAACTTCGAGTGCTTCAAGAGCACTAATTGGAGGCTGGATGGATGTAAAGACCGAATACAAAGAAAATGCATTAAAAAATTTCAAGACGTTACTTGGTGATATAAATTGTGAGGAGCCTGTCAAATCATGCTAAAATCATGCCATGCATGACATAACAGTCATGTACACTTAAGCTTAAACACAAAATTAGCATTATTCAAAAATGTGCATTTCCTTTGCACAGTGAAACATAACGATGAGCAATTGCAAACACTCAATAATTCATCAATCCACCTCCTCATTTTCAAATTTCAATTTATACAAAGAAAAACAGGAAAGTCTCCGAACTATAAAGTCGTTGAATAAATCATAAACAACAGTTACTGTGAAATAATTTCTCAATTACTAAAAATGAAAAGTAGAAAAACGGTTTCCAGTTAAAGAGGAAAGCACAAACATTACAATGATGGGCAATTTTTCGTTAGATCGGATCCTTTTTCGACTTCAAGCAGTGATCGTTTCGTTTTTCAACTCCTTACCAACCACGAGCGTTTGCTGAAATTGCCCGTGCAGACAAAAAGAACTGTGCCAGCACTCGTTGCATTTCAACTTCTTGTGTGCAACTCAATTATCACAACCGTTGATTTCACAGTCATTTCTGAATAGCCCTAATGTTAACTATTGTTTCATTAACAAGCATGAACAGCTATTGTCCCAACAAGAGGAACGGAAAGTGAAAAATGAGCGTTTCGCTGGATCTGGAAACATCCTTCAAATCGACGAGTTTGTCTTGTCTTCCATACTAGTAAAACATCCATTGATATTTCGTTGCAAACAGCTCAGCAAAACTGAGTAAAACTGAGTCAAACAAATTAAAGAAAATCTGAGTGAAGAAATTTCAATCTGCAGTTTGCTTTTCAATCAAAAGCAATATCTAAGACCACTTAGGTAAGGAGAAGTAACTCTATCGGTCTTTAGTCTACTGCAAGTGCATTTATAACCAATAAGTTCACTACGCAACGGCACAAAAAACTAAAAATTTTTGTAAATTTTATCACAATTAAAAAGTCTGCTTCAAAAAAGGGCTGGGTGTATATAAACATTCCAAACCCGGCTGGGTGTATCATATAGCATCAGTTTTGGAGTAGACTTCTAGCTAATTGTAAAAAAAATTGATTTTAGATTCTAGAAAATTTTACTTTTAAACTCATAACACCATGAAATACCTTTTACAGTGAAAGTAAGTTAGGTTTCTATATATAACTGACTGAGATTGGGCAAGGAAAATTGTGACTATTCCAGAAAATCCAGGGTTGTTTTGGCCTGGCTTGCAGATTTTAGAAGCAAGGACAAATTACAAAGATTTGACAGGAAAGAGACAGTGCTTATATTGCAACATCCCATCCAATTTGTAACACATTTAACTGATTTGGCACATTTAAAGGTGTTTCATTATGATTATTCCAGGCTGTGTGTTGTAAAATAAAAATTACACCAACATGAATTGATTGTGCTCAAGTTAACCCTTTCAGTAGATAGTGGCAAATGGAGGATTCCTCAGGAAACTATAAAAAACCTTCAATCCCTACCAATTTCTAGTAATATCAGGCATGTGATAGCATGTACAGTGCCACATTTTCACCAACTAGTCCGTTTTCTCTAATTCTCCAAGAGTTTCTTTGTGAGTTATGTCATGAAAAAAACACTTCTGGTCTTCAGGACATTTAATCAGCCACATTAATTAAGAAACATAACATTGTATTTTGTTTAAGAACATGATCCTATGAGTATCTTAATACAAGCAAATTATCACTTTTTCTGTTATGCTGTTAGGTAGTTTAAAGAAATGGGTTTAGTCATTTTAGTCAAACTCCAAACCTTTTTTGTGCTATTACCATGATTGCATTTATCAGGGGTAATCACTCTCTGAAAAAACCTTTATCATAAAGTTATAATTTATTTCAAGAAATGTTTTAAGCATTTTCTAAAAACTTTCTGGTTCATAAAAACCTCATCAAGCCTTTTCAAATAGTGATACCCACTTCAACCAATTTTACAAGTTCATACAAAATTGATAGTGCTATCAGGTTTCAACAAAATTGTAAGGTCTAGTAGATAAAATGATAAATTTCAACTACTAGTTTTATAAAATGCCATTGCACACCTTAGCTTTACAAGAGTATGACTACATGCTTGCCAGCAAATTTAGTTTTACCAGAACTAGCTACCTGGAGACACAGGTGATACTCTGTACCCCTCTCGACACACTAGCAAATAGTTTTCTTTCTTTGCATTCAAGGCAGTGAGTTTACTTTATAATAAAAAGTTCCATCTTTATTCATTCAATGCAGTTTTGTAATTAACAACCAAGTAGCCTGTGTCCATGAGTTTCAATTTTTGTCAACAATAAAAAGATAAAACTAGTCCTAATCTTTTTTTAGTACAATGCATAATTGCATCAAACAATAAAAGAAAAAATTGAATCATAACTAAGTTATTATGAACACAGGAACAAAGTATTGCCTGTCAAAAATGACCTCTTCAAGATCTGCAGCAGCACTAACACCTGTTAAGCTAGCGAAACCTTACTCATTGACTGAATGTTTCGTGGAGGGGTTGACCCTTTTTCTAGAACTGTTAAATTCTGATCAAATAATCTGATAGAATGCTTTAGAATACATCTCAATGCAAAAATAGTTTATGTTTTGAAATTGGCTCATATTTAGCTAACATGGGCTGTTTTGATAAAAACCACTCTTTCTGTCAGAAAAGTGCACTTTTTTGTCAAAAGTTCACATATAACCTCTTCCAGTCAAACTGGCACTGCTTTTTTCAGGAAAATTACAATTTCTCTTACTAATAAATAATTATGGATCAAATGGGGACAGCCTGGAACTCATTGCAAAGGAATATCAAGCCGCAAAAACATCTCACCATTTCTATTTTTTGGCTTTTTTGAGATACAAATTGAATCATATCAATGTTAATTGCTTAATTATGACACGTAAAAAGTATTAATAAAAAGTAATAAAATTATTAGTAATAAAAAGAACTCACATAGATCAATTTGGAGACTGCATTTGCCTTTACATTCATGTTCTCCTGCCTCAATTCTTGCTTTATTTCCTCCAGACATTGGTTAATGTACTTTGCCTGAAAACAAGATAAAATTTTGTCAATTGAATATATTTTTTGCAACTGTGTATATCAAACACACATAATTCCATTATGACGTTTGCTTGAGGCCAAGTCCTAAAATAAAAAAATATTTCTTACAATAATAAGCAAAGTTTGCGAGTAAACAAGTAAAATAGTAGTTTTCAAGTGTCTCCCCTCAATTGTGGAACAGGTTGAGTATCATTCACACTGAGGGCAGCAAGATCTTTAGATACATTTAAATGCAAATTTAAAACCTACTTGTTGAAAGTCTATGATCCTATTCTAGATCCTATTTAAATATTTTGCAAAATCTTATATTGAATCTTATTATTGAAGCAAGATAAATGCTTTTCATCATTAATATTATTATTATTACACTTCAGTAGCAGAAGCAGGAACAACATGAAACCTTTATGCAGTGTGACTGCAATTATATATATATGTAGACTAAAATAAACAGACTATTGTGACACAACTCTAAGTTTGATGTGTACAAACAATCATCATCAGGTGTATAAAAGCTAGTCTATCTAATCGGTCCGATAAATTGAGCACTCTAGACAGCAATATGATAATTACTATAATATATAAATATATATGCCATAAATCCTCAAATTAGCCCCCTGGGGACTTATTTATTTTTGATATTTTTGGATGGGGGCTTATTCAACAGGGGGGGCTTATACGAGAGGGGGGCTTATAAAATTATTGTACACATAAAGAAACATTATTAAAAGACCTCGTTTATTTTAGCAGAAATTTCTTTATGAGCATTTGATTAATTACTACCGAAAGTATGAATTTGTTGTGGTAGAACGCCATAGGCAACTTCAGATGGCAAAAATCATCAAATTGAGGGGTTTAATTTGAGAATTTTTGGTAGCAGTGGGGGCTTATTCAAGGGGGGGGGGCTTATTGACAATTTGTAGTTCTTGGGTGGGGGCTTATTTGAGGGGGGCTGTTTCGAGGGGGGGCTAATTCAAGGATTTATGATATATATATATATGTAATTATAAGGCAAAGGCTGACACGAGGAAAATCTTTCCACATGGGTGCTGCCTAATTGTATCGAACCACTCTTGGTCGGAAACCAACTCCAGTTTGCTGCTTCAAAAACCCTTGCTCATTCCACTGAGCCAAACGGCCGAATGAAATGAGCGAGGAATCTCCAAAGCCAACACTGGAGATTATACTGTAGCAAAGGCAGTTTTTGTTTATTCTGTTTCAGCTTTAAGCCTTCATCAGAGCCATTTTAACCATATATATGTAATCATAAGGCAAAGGCTTATATACATATATATATATCCAGAAGATTGTTCACTGAGAGAGAAAATTTTGAAATGAGTGAGCTCAGGCCAGCTAGGCCGCTAAGCTCAAAAACTCTTGCACAAGAATTAAAATCCTTTGTCGTTCCTGTAGTTGCTCGTTTTTATTCGATCATTAGCCTGTGGGCTCTTTGGAATGTGTAGTAAAGAGATGAAGGAAAGGCTGAAAGTCTCGTCACCTTGAACCATAGGCAGCTTGAAATACTATTACAGCAAAACCACTCAATAATCTTCATATGGAGCTGCATAACTGGCAGCGAAAAGAGGAAAAGCCGAGGCAAAACTGAAAGTGAGCAATCCCATGAAGGGTAGCAATTGATGGGAACAGTGGATATTTTGGAAGAAACCCAACAAACCCAATGGGATGATTGCGAAAACAGCCAAGTAAAAGCAGATGTGGCAGATATATATATTTATTTAGATCTCAACCCATTAGGTCGCCAGTGTACATCATATGTTAAGGACACCAACCATTTATTTGCCAAACTTAGCAAATTAGGTAAGATACTGGAAGGGGCTTGATTGTGTATTGTTGATGTTGTGGGACTCTGTCCTATCACCCCCATGGGGAGGGTCTAGAGGCCATCAAGCAGGCACTGGATAGAAGAAAAAACCAAGAAGTGGCACAGGTTAGGTACTAAGTTCACTCCTGCTTATGCTAATTCTTTTATTACCTGGAGGAGAGGTTAGTAGACACTTTGGTGGAAAAACCCTCATTTGGATAAAATATATTGATGATATTTTCTTCATCTAATGCATTTTGAATTTTAATTGAATTTAATTGAATTTTAATGGGGCAATTTAGGGGATGCTCTAAAATCTACAAAAAGTCATAACATTGACATTTAATTATTTTTAGATAACACTTCAAACTTCATAGCACCCTATAGCCTGTCTGAGACCAAATCTGATCATCAGGGACAGATTCAGCAGGGGTGTAGGGGTGCCGCCCTCCCATTAATAATTATGTGTCCTTTGGTAAGTTTTGCTTCCATTTGGAAAGAATCGCTTTTTGGTAGTCAGTAGTAACAAAACAATGCAAAGATTTATTTTGATCTATCTTCTTATCCTCTTTACCTTCCATCATTTTCCAGTGACCTGGAGGGTGTGGCACCAAAATCCAATTAGTTTCTAACACCCCCCCAAAATCATTGTTGCTTAAATCTGCCCCTGCTGATCATCATACTTAAAACTATTTTGAAATTTTGTAAGTGACAAACTGCACAAATTCCTAAACATATTGGACTGAAAAATGTGCAGAAAAATCATTACTCAACCTTATAACTTCCTAAAAATAGAACTTATGCTTTTAGAAGTAAAAACAATAGTGCTCTTTTCAATACTGCTGTCTTGAAGTTTTCTATCATTGTTAAAGGAATTGTTTTACCACTTAACAGCAAAATCAAAGCTTGCTGATTTTTAACGGATTTTACCATAGAAGCTTGAGGCCAACTAACAATTAACTGCTGTCTTTTAAGTGCTATAATTGTGCTGGCCTGAGGTTTTTGTTTGTCATGTCAGTTGTGCTCAATGAATCTATCGACAGCATTTGCAAACAAGTACGTAAGTATGAAACCTTTATATTTTTAAAAATCAGAATGAAACATTTACGTCTGCCTCCAAAAATCATTTTTGACAATGCCTACAAAGTACGGAAGAAAGGATTAGGCCTTCAAGAAAAATGATGCCCTGAGGGCCACCGGCCAACTTATAAGTAACATTCTCCCTTCAGTAATACTATGATAGTATCACCAAAGTCGATATTAGACACAAGATTCTCAAGCATACCAATTTAACTCTAAAAATGGAAATTAGGCAAACGATTGCATAGAAAATGACATGTTTGTAAGTGGATATTTGATTCGTCAGGCAAACTGGTTACTGGAAACAAGTCAAGATAAAAATTACCTCATTGCTCTTGTTATTTCTGATCCCTCTGACAAGATCATTGAGATTCTTCTCAAACATCGTTAATATCGATGAATTTCTGCACAATTCAAGAAAATTCTAGGTCCCAACTAAAATAGAGTGAGGCGATATTCAAAAAGTCCAAGTTCAATATCTATGACAGCTTCAATAGTGCAAGGGTTACCAATTTTTCCAGAGTCAAAATTCCACAATATGGTCCAAATAATTTGAAAATAATATGCCCCGTCACTTTAAAGTTACTCTCACGCCAGAATTCAAGTATTCAAAAACGATACTTTTTCGGCCTAAGCTGTGACTGATGCATGACCTTCGACAGTGGGAAGAAGCAGCCCACAGGGAAACGAACTACACCGATTTCATCACATTCGATAAAAACAATAGAAGCAACAATATGATAATAGAGGTATTAAACAATGCAAAGAAAACAGAAAAGAAAATAGGAACAGGAGAACGGCAAACAGAACAATTCTTTTCTGATCCATCTGTTCAAACACATTCTTGAAGTTGACAAAGACAAAGCCACGTCAGTTACTGAGTTCAAATAGACGGGGAAAAAGTCCAGCTAATATCTAACATGCACCACTGTCAGTGGAGTGTCATGCTAGTTATTTCATGATAGAAATTCCCTGTTTTCCTCTTCCTATCTTTCGAGAGGTTTGCGCAACATGGAAGAAATAAGTAAAGCTACACATTTTTGAAGTTCTTATTTCTTGACTTCTGAAGTTTCGTGTTCGAGTATTAATACAAGACTTTTTATCACCAATCAATCTTGAATACAACCCTTAGAAAACAAACAATACAATAAGAACAATCTTGATCAGGGCCGGATTTAGCGGGGGGATGTAGGGGGTGCGACACCCATCCCCCCAATAGCTCTGTTTCGCTCGGTAAAAATCATTTGTTGGTAGTCAGTAGTAACAAAGTAACGCCAATATTTTACTTTATTTATATTTTATCAATATTTATCTTCTTATCAGTAGCGTAGCGGGAGGGGGGGGGATATTCTCAAATGTAATTTAAGCTAATCTCAAGGGAATGGTCGCAAAAAATTCCGTAGCGGAGAGCCTCAATTTTCAGTAATTTCCCCTCTTTTTGGGGTTTGTATAGAAAAGTCTCACGTACTTGAGAGATTCCTGATTAAATAGAAACTAAAATGCTAAAGCAGTCCAATCCTTAAAAAATACTTGATTCTGAAATGCTTGTCGTCGACTTTGCTCCAAGGAAAGCGGACTTGGTTTAAAACTTTTGAATACTGTTTCTCATTTTTAGATTTTGATTACAACTTTGGAAAATTACTTTTTACACGTAGTACTTCCTCACCTTAAACAATTCAGAATATAAACTTTAGTTGAATTGTGAAGAAAATAGACAGTTGTAGAATATGGTCAGCCACCTATGACGTTGAATAAAGGGAAATCGCCACGTAAAAATGCCATGGCTTTTTCAAACACATTTATAAAATGGGTGTTTTCCCACATTCTTAGGGGTGTGATCAGTAAAAATAATTTCCTCTTTGGCCTACCAATCTTTCAAACCTGGCTACGCCACAGTTAAAACCAAATTTAAAAATGGGCATTTCCATCATTTTCCAGTGACCTGAAGGTTGTGTTGCTTAAATCCGCCCCTGATCTTGATACTTAGATTTGGTACAAAATTACTGAACCAAAGACAAAAACCGGAAGAAATGCAGAAAACCTATGGGTAGAAGATTTTTGAAGTGAAGTAATTATGAAAATAAATTTGAGGCATCTTACTAACAGATCTATACCGATCTATTTAAAGTTCTTCAGTTTTTGACGCTTTTAATTAATGGGATAATGGTTTAGATTGTGCAGCTTAGAATTGACGCATCTGGGGCACAAGGATAAAGTCGGAGGTAAGACCCCATAAGTAAAAAAAGTGAAAAATTGAATGACAGAGACAAGCAAGAGTTGAGAATTTAATGTCCAAGCTGTAGACAGTTTTTTTCGAAGTTCATCAATGTGGTATTTCGAGGAAAAATGTTCACTTACGAACACATCTAAAAATTTAACACACCTAATTCGTATAATGTTCCCCCCTTAAATATATAACATTTATCATTGTTTTAGGTGTTTTTAGACATTGCTGAGGTGAACGTGTAAATCACTACTCTGCAGAATTTACTGAAAAGAGTGCAATTTCCTTTCTTTTTCTTTACTTGAATTTGATTGATTCAAGAAAATCTATTTCACATTTCTTCTTTGAACTTCTAATGATTTGCAATAAGGATTCTGTTTTTATGTGAATTTGCGGAACAGTTACGGATGTTGACTGAAAAACATTTTTTTCATCTCTAGATTTTTTAGACACACTGACTTTGGTTTGTTCACAACCGGTTTTTGCTGCGTCCGTCATGATGCCCTTACATTGAACTTTACAAAAGTTGACTTTGAGAAATCTGGGGCAAAACGATTTTGTTTTAGGAATTATCGTCATTTTCTTTTAAAGAGATGAATCCCTGGTAGCTGGGTTTTTTTGTGTTATTGCAACAAACCTCAGCCACCACAGAGCCTGCGCCACGAATTGTAGAGGGTCTATGCATCGAACTTGAATTTAGTGCCTCAAAATAGGACCTCTATGGAATTTTTTTTGCTAACCAAAAATTGGGGTTGTGGCCCCTCCGTAGCCCCCCCCCCCATTTTCTCCCCTCCCGGTGACGTGGGCCCTGCAATATGTCATGGTGTCGAGTACAAGTCGAATAAGTCGCCATAAATCTCGACAAATCCACATTACACAAATATTCATTACAGGCCTTGTTATAAAGATCCTAGCTCTTAAAGTTCAAAACCTAAACTCAAAACCTAAACTCAAAACCCAGTTCTTAAAGTTCCTAATTTCGGGATTTATATTAGTCGAGCTTCGGTACCAAGATATTAGCTCCTTAATTTCAATTGCACATTTAGTGAGATGAAAATAGATCAGATACAAGAAAAAATAAATTCTGAGCCAAGAGTTTTGCTTTTAAGTGTAGCTAGAAAAAAGGCCAAAAGACAGAGAGGGCAAGAAATAGAATAAATCTGCGTAAAAGTACTACGGCAATAAAGAAGTACCTTTGCAATTGATATAGAGAGAGGCACTAACGACACTCTATATTATAAGAATGTTCTAAACTTTGCCCAGCTTCAACTTTTTTTTAAGAAATTTTCGTTTTAAGCCTGAATATGTTCTTAGATATATTCTTATTTTTTCAAATCCGGTATGGTTTCTGGAAAATATCGCTTGCTCTCGAATGGAAAAGATTTCTCGCGATTCTCTGTTGTGAACATTGTGAAAAAAGCAACTGCTGAAAATTATGCACTCTGTGCCAAAGGTTACCATTTCTTTCTTTTCTCAACGTCTGTCACTACAGTTAAGGCATGACTCTTCCCCTCCTCAACTTTCTACAAGAAATAATAATCTGTGTTCTTACGAGAACCGTCGAATTGACTACCCTGAGTGATATGTTATTTGGATAGACTTGGTCTTGGAGATTCTTTTTTTCCTTTCTAGAAGGTATGATTTCTAAACTTTTTCCCGCGCTGCACCCAGCCATGGTGGGTCCTCCAACGTCACTAAACTCGTTCTTTAGCCCCCCAGGTTCAATTTGGTGCCGCCATCTCCAAAATATGTTATCCATCCTACTAAAAGAGAGTCAAAATACTAAGGATATATCTGCAAGTACTTTTTTAGAGCTGACAAAACCATATTGAATCCAAAAATCTTGATTCTTGTTTTTAAGTCGTTTGCACCTCAAACTGTTTCCAAAACACATACCACAAATTGCTTGGTGGTGCCTAGACCTATTGCACATTTTATATTCATTCTCGTTGCTGAGGATGATAAATTTCACAAACATAAGAGTGATGTAAATGAAGAGAAGTATACAAAAATTTGGAATGAATGTGTCAAGTTGATTAGAAATGCGAAATGGCATACTTTGCACATCTTGACATAATGTTTGTACCTAGCTTGTTTTGATACACAGCCTAGTATCACAAAACAAAGAAAAACTTTCCAAGAATACCAACGTCTACATTTAAAGAAAGCAATTCTCAAGGACGTCAGTAAAATTAATATTAGCTTAGAAACAAAGAAAGCAACAGGTTTTGAGAACATTCGTGTCAAAATTCTTAAAATATCAATAGGTAGACTATGTGAGACACTCGCAAGATTATCTAATGATTCAATTCCGAAAAACTATTTTCTTTTCTAATGAAAATGGCAAATTTATCTCCAATCTTCAAGAAGAATGATGCAACTAAATAAGGAACTATAGGTCAATGAGTGTATTGCCATTAACATCAAAGATTTTTGAAAGAATTAGGTTTAACCAAATATATTTTAGCCTATGCTATTTCCACTGCTTTGTGGAACTAGAAAAGGCTTGAACAAACAGAAGGCCTTGCTAAGGGTAACTGAAGATCTTAACAATAATTTGGACAATATACCTATTGCTGGTGCTATCCTGGTTCGATTGTCTTTCCAATAAACCTCTTTTGGCTAAATTAAGATCGTATGGTTTCAAGTAATATTGTAATTCAATATATACATGGCTAGTTTGTAAATACAATGTAAAAAGTAAAAAGTAATTCTTTTTATAGCGTTTGGATGAAAATGAACGAGGTGTTCCACAAGGATCAAGTCTAGGTCAATTGATTTTGAGCATATTCATCAAGGTCGTCATCTGTGTTTTGAAAAAGGTTATTTATGTTGCTATCTATATTATATGTTACTATCCATAATATATGTTAAGACATGTTACTATACTGACAATACCATATGACAATACCATAAGACAAGATTTGAAATCTGAACTCCCAGTTCTCATCAATTGATTAAGTGGCAATATAATGATACTGAATAGAGAGAAATGCAAACTCGTCACCTTCCAGACAACCGTTCTGAATCACAAATATCTGAAGTAACATCAATGAAACCATTATTAAAGAAATAAAAAGCACAAAATTCCCTGGTGTAAAACTGAATCAGCAATTAAAACTTGACGAAAACATAAAGAACCTCTGCAAAAAAGCAAGTAGAAATGTAAAGGTTCTTGCAAAATCTGACTCTTACCTAAATGAATCTAAACGAGAACTAATGATGAAAACATTCGTCATATCATATTTGAATTATTGGCCCCTTGTTTCAACACTTTCTAGTAGGAGAAATGACAACAAAATCAAAAGGGTACATGGACACGAGAGAGCCTTTAGATTAGCCTATAATGATTTCCAAACAACATTTACACAACTACGACACGGTCATCAGCCACCCTGACCGTGTCAACCATCTCGATCATTTCACTAATCTCAGTTGTCTCAAAAACATCACAGTCTGT